ACTAGCTGTCCCGGCAAACGTTGTTTTGCCATATAAATAATTTCGTAGAAGGGTGAAAATTGAGGATTGTATGTATTTCTGTATGTTATCATAAAAAAATAGAAATTTTGTGTAAAAATAAAAAAATATGTAGCGGTGGACTACCCCTAACATTTAGGGGGATGAAAAATAGATGTTGGCCGATTCTCATAGATACCGGATAAGCACAAAAAATTTCATCAATACCGGTCAAGCCGTTTCGGAGGATTATGGCAACGAACTGACAAATAAAATTACTTTCCAACGCGTGATGACGTGAGTGCACTTAAGTCCAGGTATAATGTGATGTGACAACTTATCAGTGCAGGCCTAACGTGCGATAAACAAATTAGCGGCGTGCGCCGGCTCCATCAACTGGTTCCACACCACCCTATAACCCTTTTAGGTCTACAATGGGATAACGAATTCCCAAATAGCATTCGACGGAACGCACCGAAAGTGGAATGACGTAAGATAACACAAACAGATTGCCTTCACGTTCCCACTGAGTGACATATCTGTTAAAGTGCACCACGCTACACATTCTACTCGCGTCCACCATACCAGTCGTAGATAAATTAACGAAACGTTGCAATAATTGCAAGCAATCCAATGTTATTTATTAAAAGTATATTTATTCTAAACTCCGCTAAATGTAATTGAATAACTTGTTTTGTGTTTGCTTTCTCTGAACATAACAAGGAAATAGGTAAATATGTTGTTATGCAAAAAGACATTCACAGCTATTTCAATTTCGCTATCAAGCCAATTAATTGATAGCGTAAACCTGAACGTAACAAATTAATTAAAACTGACACTGAAAGAGAACTGTTAACATTTCCATATCGAATAATGTAGTATTGTTGTGTCGGTTGCAAATTCTATAAGTCCTTACAAGTCGTCCACAATGAAGGATGAGGGCTTTAGCTGCAATGAATAGACGCGACCCATTCATTCGGCTATTAAACAATATCATTGCTAGGAAAAGGTTCCATAAAGCGCACTGAATTTAATTATATCAAGCACTTGTACACACAGGTGGAGTTGATGGGAACATGCGATATTCCAAGTTAATGAGGTGACAATTACCCGTAAAAACTCAATAATATGCGTCCGATATTGTACACGCACTCCGGTGGAGTAATAAATCGCTGTTAATACCTTCACTGCACCCGCACATTCGACTCAAGTAAAAAAGCGATTTAATCGTCGTAAAAGATTTTTATATGTTAAACGTAACGATTTAAATATTTTACGGACAAAAAAGATATTGGAATCCATTTAAAATTTATTTAGGTATCGTGTGTGTTTCGTAAGTTCAATGCATCATATGAATTGTAATAAAATTAAACGAGCCAAAGGATAAATAATAATTATAACTAAAAATCGCGGCTGCGCGACAATGCCGCGACCGCGCACGCTGCTCATGAGGAAGAACCCCTCTGTGGTTCGAAACTATCTAACTACTAGTTTCGAACCACAGAGGGGTTTTCTCAGTATAATCACGTGTTATTATAAAAACATAAATAATATATTTTTTTGTATTAGGTGTGATAACAATATTTATTTCATTTCGTTCCATAAAATTCAACTTAAATATAAGAACTTTGTATGAAAAACGAAAGATACCATACTTAGTAAAAAATACCGTTAAAGCTAATTCATTCAGTAAAAAAACCACTTCATTTAATTTAATAAAAAGCATGCGTCTGTTGTTTATAATACTGTCCTTTCAAAGAGCTGACATTACCTAATTAAGATACGCTACTGAAGCACTGATTAAAGGACATACGACAGACGGAAAAAACATGGACATAATATGAACATATGATCATTATGAGGATGTTTCAAAAAGTACTTCGATGCGTTCACTAATTAAAAGTTAATTGGCAGTATCGGGAGCTTCGTGATGTACTAGCACTTGTGCGCCATGATAAACCATAATAGCTACAGGAGACTGGACTTGCGAACAATGGCCTGCGGAATAGTGTTGTTCTGCCGTCCGATTTATCTGATATCCCGGTCACATTGGCCAAATATATGGACATTTCGCCTCGACCACGTTAAATACGTTGTACGTACATAGACGTAGGTAATGTTGTCTTATGTGCTCTTCCATAAATTTAATATTATTATGACGTGTTAATTTTATGCTTTGGCTACTATTTGAAGGGGTAGGCAGAGGTGCACATTATGGTAGTTAATGCCACTGTACAATGTAACACCCACTTTTCACTACTTATGTTATGAGTCCCTTGTTATAGGGGGTTAGCCATTTGCCATATACCGGGCACAATTCCAGACTCCGTGTTACTACTGAGATTTTTTTTAAAACCCATTAATATTTTGCCCGATCCGGAAATCGAGACCCATTGCCCGGCAGTCGAACTTGCGACCACTCGGCCAACGAGGCAGTTGTTTATTGAGAATATGTAGTGTTTGAATATTTTCGTACACGAACATTAGAAAGTATACACAAAGTAGATACACATAATTAAAATGATGTACCCTTGTTCTACTTCAAAGCATAAAACTAAATATGCATTTAATGCAATAAGAAATACCTAAGGATTGTTAAGTATCAATCTTAATTCCTGAATTAACTTTTATGTATCTAGCAACATTAAATTCAAATACTTATAATTCCAAATACTATATAGCTTGAATAATTTATAATTTAAAGTAAAAAAGAATATCGAAATGACGACACTACTTTTAGCAAAACAACAGCAGAACAAAACTTTCCGGTTCACAACTTCGTGTTTAAGTACACGCGGCGCCATCTAGCAGTGAGCAGCGGTACATTTCGTTTCCATTCAGTTACGCTACTCAACGCTAGAGGGCACAACTCCACTCACAATTTCACGGAAAGCTGTTTACCGTTCTGCAATGAACTTTGCGAATGGGTTGAAAATGACAAACCTTTGTGTATACAAAAGTAATTACAAATAATACTATACTTTTTATACTGGGCAGGCTAGTGTTTGACCGCTAATTCGCATACTTTATATATGGAAAACTAGAGCCAACGACTTTTTTGCATTTATTCGTTTCTGCCTACCTCGATGGGAAATAGGCGTAATATATATGTATGTATCGCTAAAACTTATTTACTATATTTACTGGTAGATACAGTACGTTATGAAAAAAGTTAGATACAGCCAGCGACGAGCATAAACTACTTTTAATACAAAACTATACGAAAATAGACTTTTTCAAAGCTAGTTACAACTTTCCATTGTGCGAGAGTTAGGAGTCGTACATAGTTAGATATCTATAAGGTATATATATTTTACAAAAATTAGAAGAAGCTGGAGATCGTCAGTTAAAATGAAGTCTTGTTCAGTAAAATTGCGTCCCATGATAATGTGGCATTGTCGTAGGAGACTTCGTTTAACTGTGCGAATCCCTAAGATTAGAAATCAGAGGCTCAATAAGAAATATGTATAATCATATCATCCACAGTCCTCTAACTCTGAATAGATTATTCAGGTTAGACAAATCGATTGCCAATTTAATTATTTACTTTAGTTACTTAGCCACTTCTAAGAAAATAACTGGTGAATGCCTAACTCTAAAATAAATGCAAGTACATCTATCTTAGCGCATTATTGATACTAGACCATCTGACCATAGTACTGTATAGTATAAATATATTACAGTACATTACACATATTTCACAGTTCGCTACGAAGCCTACGAATGCTACGGGGGCTGGCTACGAAAGCTACGAGGGTGCTACGCAAGCCCGATGTTAGTTAATGGATGTACTAGGGTTTAATCCGGTCAAATTCATCCACCATGTTGCAAACTAGCATATCCATCTGTTATTTCGTACCATATACTCTAATGTACATGAATACACGAGTAAATATTTTATAGTTATAAAGAACCAGGTTTTCGCCCGCGGCTTAAAAACGTAATATAGAGGTACAGGTGAAATAATTATCCCAGAAATCATAAATTACTCTTAGTGACAATTGTAAAATATTTCACCCACTAGTGTTTGAGTTTATCACGTTCGTACTGCGGCGACAGGTAGACAGGTTAGGTTAGACTAAAAATATTGCTACATTGATAATTATGCCAATTAAACACCAGCCTAAATCAAGGCCTTGCTTTCTTTCCCCGAGAAATTATTATGTGATAAAGATAAAGAAAAATAATTATACCGCCGTACAATATTTAAAGCTACTTCTGGACTGAATGGTGCTACTGAACTTCAATTTTCGCGCGCTTACCGATTTCAAACATAGGGTGCCACAATATTTCACCTCAGCAACAACTTTTGGCCGAAGTACATTGGCGCGGCACAGCGCGTGGCGGCGCCACTAACTTGTAGAGACACATTCGCGTGTCGTGTCTTGTCGTGTGGGTCGCCAAATGTTCCGAGTACCTTCACCTCCATACCACCTTGCCTTAGTAATAAAATTACTTTCATAATTTAATTTGTGCTCCGGTTATCGCAACAGGCTGGCCGCACTAACTGCTATTACCCAGTAACATCATAAGAAGAAACAGTGTTAGCTATTTTACCTGTATAAGTATAAATAACTTGCATTTACCCACGTCTTAGCAATTACTATAAACCTTCCGCTTGAATCACACTTGTCTGTTTAGAAAAACTGCATCAAAATCTGTTGCGTAATTTTAAACATCTACACACATAGTGGATAGACAGCGCAGTGGGAAGTTACTTTGTTTTATACTATGCCTATGTAGTGATAGGTATATTGAAAAACTATTCACATATCGATGTACTTACGTAATGCTAGTTGGTAAGCAATATGTTTACGATTGAGAACAGTATTTTAATCATAAAATATTGTTTGTTCACAGCTTTGACCGCGATCAACCCTTCACTTTCCAAATCGGCGTTGGCCAGGTGATCAAAGGATGGGACCAGGGACTTCTTGACATGTGTGTTGGTGAGTAAAAATACCAATAATTAGTGAGAAATGTTATAAATAACTAATAATATAGTATCGTATATCCCTACATAAAGTTTTATCTCAATTACCTCTATTGTCTTGATATAGTCGTTATCATACATTCAAAAAATCAGCCGAGGTAAGCAGGCTGTCTCTCTAAATGATTGCTATACAGCGCGCCCAGTATATTTCAACGGACCAGGGCGGTACCGCGGAGCGGAGGCGGCAACGGCGCCCCATGCAGGCGCTTCTAGTTCTCTATAATTCCACTTGCCGCGTCACCGCACCCTATGTCCAGCGCCAACAGCCTGCGCAGTTGCTGATTTTTAGGTGTCCCTGGGGACGGGGGCTAGGGGACTGTGGACATCCAATGTGAATGTCAACAACCCCGCGCATCTTTTACCGCGCAGTAGTCGAGATGTGATCAGTCAAACATTAAATTTAATGCAAGCGTGTGTGCATATCAGACACAGATGAATCCATTTTGTGAAAATCAGAACTAATATTTAGTGATTTATTGGAATAACTTTTGTGAATCTGGGCTTGACTCAGTTGAAATCGTGATTATCGTGTAGTGATTTCGTGTTACAGATTGTTGTGATAGTGTTGAATTGTGTTATTTGTTTTTGTTAGTTTGTTGGGTCCGGTGCCGGGACTCCGGCCCTCGTTTACATAAAATGGCGTCATCACAAATAAATAACTATCAATACATAATGGATAGCGATATAACTCCCGAGATTTTAAGATCAATGAGAACTCAATATTACTCGAAACTTCCAACCACCTACACTTCGGAATGTACAAGTGGAAAAAAAATATTTATGTGTAATATGGCGAGTCAGGACTTCGTAAATATAGTTCTGCAACGAATGAGAGGGGTTGGTGCCGAATTTGAAGGCCACACTACAGATAAAATGGCTTTAAAAATTGAACTTGAGCATTACAAAGTAGTTGTTGTTAATGGAAAGGAATGGTTGGTTAAAAATATTTGTGGACACGATAAGATCATAGTGCCGTGGGAGGATTCCTTCGAGCTCGTCTGGAAGTTACATCTTGAGAACGCCCACCCAGAGCCCGCAGAGCTAATGGACATTATGCAAAAAAATTACTTGATAAACAGGAACACTATAGAATGTATTACCGAAGTGTGCCCTGTATGTCAAGGTGATAATCAACCAAACGTTAAATATACATTGGATATCATACCAATGTGTACTGATCCCGACTTTTCATTCAGTAGCATTTTAGCTTACGAAGATGTTTTTACTAAGTTCGTACATTTGCGACCGATCTACAAAGACCTATCAATAGATGAACTAAAGGTTGAGCTGATGCGAGTGTTCATGGATTTTGGACCTCCGAGAAAAATTTTGCTTAGCCACGCTGTGCTGACGGAAGCCATTTCCAAAGTAAAAGATTTCAGACACAATTTCGATTTTGACGTTATTGTCAAGAAAGTTCAATTAGATTTTGATAAAATTAATCGCCTCAAAGCGACAATAAGTAAATGGATGAGAGACAACAAGTCTAAAAAATGGGGGGCTAATATTCATAAAATTGAATGGGAGCTTAATAACAGAGTCACTGGAAAAGACCACATGTCTGCAAACTCTAGAGTGTTTGCCGTGAAATTAATGAGAGCTGAAAGGGAGAAATTAAACTTGAAGAACCAGGCAATAGAAAATTTGCCTTCACCAAGTGTATACAGTCGATGCGATCCCGTTCTGCCTATTAACATAAGTCCTGCGGATGTGGCGAACGAAACTTTTTCTTTTGATATGGACGAAAACTTGTTAAATTTAGTTGCGGGTACTTCGACAGAGGAAAGAGATACCCTGACATTTGATGATGATAACATTTTTCAAAACATTTTAGTTACTGATGGACAATATGACATACCAATGTTCAGCGGTGGAACGGATCTAGATTTATTACAGCAGGAGACTGCCCCGCCAACCTATGAATACCCATTATCAGAAGGAATGGAAGTAGCGGGTGCCCCAGTATCGGATCAAATTGAACAAATTACCGATTTACAAATACCGAGTGAAGGCTTCTTAGCTTACACCCTGAACACTACCAACACTAACACACAAACCACAGGATCAACATTAGTCTTGATATATAAAGCGCCATGCACGCAGGTCTATCCGGCTGGATCTGAACATTTTTGATTAGACAATCAAGGATGTACAGCCGTCAATCAAGAGATGGCTTGTATTCCTGAAGTTAATCACTCGCATAACATCATGGACTGGGATGAAAGCATTATTAGTGGTGATAACTACGAGGGATGTGATGGTACGGTGCATAATGAGGGGAGAGAAAATATGGCTGAAGAAAATGTGATAGTAAAACGTACGCTTTTATTAAATTATCTAACTTACCTTCGCCATAATTATCGCATTGAGTACTTCTCTTCTTATTGTAAGCCACATCCGTAGGGTGATATCGTGTTTACAGTTTTAATTGTGTGTTACAGGTGAAAAACGCAAACTGACCATCCCATCCTCTCTGGGTTACGGCGAGCGTGGGGCCGGCAACGTGATCCCTCCCCATGCTACCCTCCACTTTGATGTGGAACTCATCAACATCGGTGACTCGCCCCCGACCACCAACGTCTTCAAAGAAATCGACGCTGACGCCGACAACATGCTGTCCCGTGAAGAAGTGAGTATAGAGTTAGCGTTCCAAGCCATGGATACCGATGGAGACAAAGAATTATCGCGCGAGGAGGTCAGTGCCGTTGGCTCAGGTGAAGGATGGTACTCTTGGCCTTAACTCAGTGTCCCGTTAACTTATCGTTGCCGTATCTACAATCACGAACACACTAAATGTACTATTATTGGATAGTAGTTTCCTTATACCTATTCTAGCAGCATATTGTTCTTGTATCACTTGCTCTCTATACCTTTCTATATTCTATATGTTTATATGTCGAAAAAATACCTCTTTGCTATCACAAATATCTAATAATGCTCTTTATGTATTTATATGGAATGAATAATACTTCCGACTTCCTAAACTACAATCTTATTGGCGCTCTTACAATGTAACTAGATTGTGTATATAATTACTAACGGAACTATATTTAGTTACAAAATATTGACATAAAATTATTGAGCAAATGATAAGTTATCGAGATTGCATCGTGTGCTATACTTTACTTACCTTGGATGGAACTGGCTGTAAAATCTTACTGCTTAAAAATAAAGAACATCACTTTACTATTCTGTTTGTGAGGGCCAAGGCAAAGAAAAGATCAAAACATTGTAGACATTCACTAGATACCCACTTGTGTAAAAATATTTAACAATACTGTTGCTATGCGCCATCAAAATGCTTAAATGATAATAACTTTGAAGTTAGTAAAGATATTTTTTATTTTATGCGCGTAATATATTGCGAAATGTACCTATACAATAAAGCAAAAGCAAATATGCACTTTATATATCGTGACAGCGAATTAAATATATCATATAAAAACTATATTGCACCTTTGTACGATTACCTAAGCAAATGCAATCAATAAAAAAAAACGTTATTTAGACACAATTATGTCCTTGGGCCAATCAAAGGAGTTCTTTTGTATATAATATAATTATTTCAATCTAAAACCTATCAAATATTCTATAGGAACCTCAAAAAAACCTTACATTCCAATGAATGAAGCATGGCATGTAATTAGTTGGCGAGGATGTATATATTATTGAGTATGCATGATATTTTACAGGTAAAGTAATAATAATAAATTACAATTAAATGTGCAAGTCGTATATAAAGAGTTATATAGAGAATAGGTGTGGGTTGGATCAATTTAAAATTACAAGTAGGTAGTTCAGTTTAACACATGCATGCCACAAGTTGTTACGAACTAAGCAAAAAACTGACTTGAGAATTAATGGACAAGGATGAGGAAACTCGTATATTTATTTTGCGAAAAGGCAAATAACCTAATACCTAGTACTTTTGCTCGTTAAAGTTGAGATAGGTAGATGATGAGTTCAAGATTTCTCTGACAACTCTAAACTCTGAGAAAAAAAATCAATTTTAAATTACAAATTTGCATGTCAAATATTGGTCATATTTTCAAAAATCGAAGACAAGACAGGTTAACCTCAACATCTTCTTATTTCAATACATTGTTTAACGTAAGTACTTACTTAAAGAACATCTAAACTTGTTCGCTGCTCAACTGTTTCGCCGTTTAACATTTGTAAATATAATATACCTACGTTGTTATTTGTAATGTCAGTAATATCCCTCTATATATTTATACATAAAGATAGATCTAAAGTAAAAAATACAAAAAATAAAGTAATAATTATGTGATTGTACATTTGACAAAGAAATCTAGAAGGTTTAATTGAAAATACTAGTATCTATAGCTACGTCAATACTGCCATTCGAATGAACATTTTGAAGTTATCCATGTATACTACATATCATGAACCTAGTAATACCAAAACGCAATTAACCATCATCACTACCGTGATGAAGGTATTCTATATTTAAAGAACCCAAGAGCCAAAAAGAACGGCATCACTAAAATTACGAAGAAAAATGTTTGACCGGTAGTCAACAGTTATATTTGTGTCCACAGGTCAGCGAATACTTGAAGAAGCAGATGGTTCCGTCCGACGGCGCCGAGATGAGTGACGACATCAAACAGATGCTGGAGAGTCACGACAAGCTTGTAGAAGAGATCTTCCAACACGAAGATAAGGATAAGAATGGATTTATCAGCCACGAGGAATTCTCAGGGCCAAAACATGATGAACTCTAAATACCTAATTATTTAATGTAGAAAACTCGCTCCCGTATCAATACTGATTTCATATTTAGCGCAGTGACGGGAGCCGAGTCCGTAAGTTGTGCGTGCATTAAGTGTTTACAATTATTTATACCCGGTCATAAGTAAATTTCCAATAGACCTGCGATGTAATGATGTCGATCTACGGATCCAGTATGTGTAGATTTAGTAAGTTTTAAGAGTCATTTTATAAATTTTTGTTGAGTCTTTTGTACTTAGTTTATTTTACTTGTGTTGTTGGTGCAATGGAGTTTTGTTATTTAGAGTACGATTATTAGTATAACTATATGCTTTTATGGTTTATTTCTGTATGATATTTTTTAACTTTCTGCATAATATTACCTATCGATGTCTATTTTGCATGTAATTTATAACTTTTAATGGTCAACTGAATAATCATATAATATTATAAATGTAGTAGATGGAACCATATGATAATCTCAATGTAACTTATTATTATCCAATAACGGTTATATATCTAAGTAATAATTAAGTCATATCTATCCGCAGGAGTACATAAAGCTCCATTACATACTCTCTGTATTGCATAATCAAATTAGAATGATACAGAACTACAGCACTTCCCCTATATTTGAGTTGACTATAATCTATTCTGTAATTACTTTCTTGCTCAAATACTCTATCGTTTCTCGTGTTTGTATGTCCTTGAATTGTCAGCTTCAATGCAATTTGATTTAATTCAATCCTGTTTTGGGATCTTGAATTAACTGTTTGTAATACTTACTTATAATAATTATGTAACTTTATTTTAAGTGCGTACGTCGTAAAAGACAACGATTACCTACCCTGTTCGACGTTCATTCCGCTGTGGTTTAAATAAACTTATTTATACCTTTACCTACCAATAATGTTGTTTCATTTATGATTCCCTGAACCCATTGTGTTTTAATTTTCAAGAGCTCAACTCTCATTACTGTGTTCTCGCAAATACTACTTAGGTACTTCTATTTCTAGCTACATTAAGTAGATACTTGAGACAACCGTGTCTCAAGTGTCTACTTATTTACTTAAACTTATTGATATTTTGCCTGCCAGACATAGGTCGAAGAATATTATTTCATCAAACCAAATCAATAAAAAGAATTACTGTTTACTCGTAGCGCGCATGTCGTAGCACCAAGTGCGTAGGTCGTAGCACGTACCACCAAATGCGTGGGAAGAAGGTTGTAACACCAAGGGCGTAGGTCATAGCTGGTAGTTCGTAGCTCGCAGGACCAAGCGCGTAGCGCATGAGTACCTACGTAACAAGATATATTGTAGATTGTTATCAAAAATCAGTCACAAATTAGAATTTTAGCTAATATAAAACGTAGCTAAATGTTTAAGTAGACCTGTAACACAAATAAATAGCTTACAACATGTCTATCTAAAATTCAGGAAAATATATACAAGGCATACTGAGTTTAGGCTTTCCATGTCCATTTGGGGTCTTCAAAATATCAGTTATCAATAAGAGAGTCTCTGGAGATTTCATCCATTGTACAAGTTTCATGAGATTTATTTACATATTTATCCTTCATGCTAATTTAGGTGACGAAGAGATATAATGCAATTAAGTACCTAATCAATTTCTTTAATTACGTAATTATGTAATAGCAAATCGGAGTGCGAGTATATATCTAGAATTAAGGTAATTATTTATAGAAAAGATCGATAAACAAGCAGACGCATCGCCTATTGCAAACAAACGATGCCGCCACAGACGAGACACTAGACAGCAATGGACGCCAGTAACATCAGACCATTTACAAGTGCGTTACCGGCCTTTTGCGGATTTGGAGATTGGGGATTAAGGGAGCGGGATTGGGCCTCCGGTAACCTCATTCACACGGTGACACACAACGAAGGCATTGTTGCATGTTGTCGTGTCTCGTCTGTTCTGGCCTTCAAACTGGTCTTCAAGCACGTAGATCCCGTTCCTATTTACCCTCGTTGGAGTCCAGGTCCAGGCACTTGAGTCGACCGTGTGTCGTTTCTAGCCACTCTACAGGCGACTGCAGTCGCGAATTAGGTTTTGATTTCACACCGTTTTAAAAGCGAATAATCGGTTGTCTCGTGATAATCAAATCCCATTCTTTTTTGGTCTTCTTTCTTAAGGACATCGCGGAAAATGTTCTTTTCTGCAATATTTTGATGCGTTCGTTCTTTACGAATCATGAAAAACGGCCCTAAATTCGAATTGCCTCATTGGCCGTTGATCGAGTGCCACAAAGGCAATTATACCGACTACTGAGCAAATATAATAACATTTTACATTTGTAGCATTGTAGAAAATAACAAAATACACATACTTTTTATAGGTAGTCAATGAGGTGGGTACCTTATACGTATTTGTGCACTTGATATGCTATCTTACATTGACGCCCCTGTGTCCTTACGATGATTTGTCTCATTAAGCTGCCTTGTACGTATCTACTGCTAAGAAGTGGAATTCTTTGCCAAAGTCTGTATTTCCTCAAGGGTGTCTACAAGGCAATATAGACCTGGGTAGGTTGGGTCTATTTTAGGTGTCTACAAGGCCCGAGTGAATTAGGTTGCTTAAGGGACGACGTGCTCCATCGTAGACCGCATCATCGCTTACCACTAGGCGAGATAGTGGTGAAACGTCGGCCCATCAAATATATAAAAAATATGGTGATTACTTATTTAATGTCTTCATGGTGATTATTAATGGTGAATGTTTGGTCAAAATTACTTTATATAACTTCAGGATTATTGGTGATATCCTTGTATTTCACATATTATCTAGATTCAAGAAAAGAGCGTAGGTATTCCTTTTTAAAATGTCCGTAATGGAACTGTAACTCCTCTGGTGTTGCGGGTTTCCATGGGCGGCGCTAATCGCTTACCATCATGGTGATCCGTATGCTCATGTTGCATAAAAAAATATATTTCTAGTCCTTTCCGTATCTTGTTTGGTATTAATGTGGCAAGTACCCCTATACTTATTATACTCTTTGGTGGCAAGGGTGTAATAAAACGTTTGACAACACGGTTAAGAAAACTGTCAGTTTGACAACAGAGTGAAGAACGTAATTGTCAAAAGGTCAATTATTGTGGTGGTTGTCAGTTGTCACTAGTGTCATTGAGAAAGAGAACAGTCAAATCGTGTTTTGTGCTGTGTTTAGTAAAGCTGAAACAGTTGGTGATAGTTCTACAAACCGTGTGAGTCTCTATAAATTTATATCAATTATGTTTATGTGATATTTTCGAAATGCTGTCCAATAAAAGTTTGGTGGCAGCCTGTGCCATAGCGTTCTGCTGCAACGTGGCTTTAATGGTATTGTTTGTAAAGTATAATTCTGGAGAGAAATGCTACATTACAATCGACGAAAAACAGGTGGTAACTTCCACAATCCCAGACGACTTTCTTAGCATCGGCATCGACACATCTGAAATAGAACATTACGATAGAATCGAGTTTGGCAAGCCGAGACTGCGACAACTTGCAGCAGCATTAGCGCCGGCGCGTCTGCGCCTGGGCGGCACCATGTCTGACCGACTTATATTCAGCGAGAATGACATTGTAGCGTCCTGTGAACACTGCCCTAAAGACTCCCACTCTAAGTCAGCCTGCTCTGCTGTCAGAAAGTTATGCAAACACAAACATTTGCCTTTCTTCATAATGACTGGTAAAAAATGGACCGAAATTAATGAATTTTGCAAAGCTACGAAAAATAAATTATTATTTGCATTCAATGTGTTGCTTCGTGATGACCATGGGTGGTATGATCAAAATGCAAAGGATCTTCTGGAATATAGTAAATCTAAACATTTCACCATAGACTGGCAGCTTGGTAATGAGCCAAACTCATTTGAACATGTTTTCAATATATCTGTGACTCCAGAGATGTTAGCCCATGATTTCAAGAAGCTTCGTAAACTACTTAATGAATTTGGCTACAAACATTCCTTACTAGTTGGACCAGACACAACTCGACCACAGCCCAAAAGACCTTATTGCCTAGAGTACATGAGGGAATTCTTGGGAAATGGTTCCAAACAAGTAAATGTAGTATCTTGGCATCAATATTACTTAAACAGTCGCACTGCAACACTTGAAGATTTCTGGAATCCAAGTACATTTGACTTATTGAAAGAACAAATTGAAACTATGAGAAATCATACGAAAAAGTATAGGCATATGCCTATGTGGCTGACCGAGACAAGCAGCTCATATGGAGGAGGAGCACCGGGCCTTTCTAATTCTTTTGCTGGAAGTGCTTTATGGCTGGACAAGTTAGGTCTCTCTGCAAAATACAATATTACTACTGTAGTAAGACAAAGTTTTATTGGAGGAAATTATAGTCTTGTTGATAAAAAGTTGGAACCTTTGCCAGACTGGTGGCTGAGTGTCATTTACAAGAAGCTTGTTGGAAGCAAAGTACTACATGTTGACTGCAAATGTTCTCCCTTGCAGAGAATGTATGTGCATTGTGCTAATAGGAAATATACCAATGATACTTCAGCTATAACTGTCTATGCTATCAACTTAGAAATGGCTAAAGCAAGATTCTTGTTAAATGGCACTGCATTGCATGGAGATAATTTAATAATTGATGAGTTCATATTGAGCGCTCCATCTAATAATAGGAGATCTAAGACTTTATTATTAAATGGTTGGCCCCTGTATTACGAATCTGCTTTGCCTGATCTGGAACCTGTACGGTTAAAATATGGTAACCACATCTCTATGCCTCCATACTCGTTGGCATTTTGGGTTATAAAAAATACCTCCATAAAAGTTTGCATTTAAAACATTTCAAATCTGCATTTACAGTTTTTTTTATCGTTTGTACTTAACATTCCAGTGAGATATTACTGAGCCCCAATACAGATCTGTTATATTTACAAAATTCGGTACCGACAGGTTATAAGTTGATACCACAGTACCACTGATATAGTGAAGACAATGGTTTTTAAATTGTTTAAATAATTTAATAATAAATAATAATCAATTTTATCTCATGCACCCAATGGATAAACTATAACTTATCAATTTGATTTATTTACTTAGAAAATTTTAATTCAAGCTATAACAGTATTTATAAAACTCGAATAGTTATTTATTTTTCATATGAATATTTTTAATACACAGGCAATGTGTATGTATGCTATAGACAAACCACGACGATAATTTAGTAATTAGTTAAAATAATAAAAAAATAACTTAAAAATATGAAACTCAGAATGAGTAATAATGACACTTGTTACAATATCTTCGCTTGCCTTGAAAAATAATAATGTCCGGGCTGTTTACATTTTAATATCTCGATTTCCATTTTGCTTCGTCTTGACAATATAATTATCTTGAATTGTTGACAATAGCTAGCCTTGTCCACCAGTCAAGGAGAATTATTCTTCATTTGACATTGAACTACTGTCACCGTTTGATAAGACTACAATCTAAATGCATAAGCTATGCCTAAATAGTATCATACAACTAGCAAACAAAGATGTGTCTGTATGAATGTTTACATCTATCAATTAATAGAGGCAATTTGCTTTAGTCATGTGACAAACCACATAGCATTTTTAGATCTCTTTAAACACTAAATGTAAGCTTGAATGAATGTCATATACAGTGATGTCATTTTTTACTATTGTTATCTGTTATTGTAATTACAACAAATAATATTTTCTAATTAGAATATGTAGTGTGTAATTTAATGTCGGCAGTAGTCACAGTTGACCATTTTTCAAGCTTAGTATAAGAATGAAAAATAGGCAACTATTATTATTGTCGAAGTACTTTTGATCTGTACATTTGTACTTGTTTTATATAATTCTTATGAATGTTGTGACTTGGTATAATTATAAGAAACTTACTTTGTAATCCCTGTGCCATGCTTTAAAAGAACTATTACGAATATTCAACTGATATATAAAGGTGCTTAATTAATTACCTATAACTAAATAGATATATTAATAATGTTACTGCCTTCACAGCACATTCATCATATATTATTCATTTCTCAAACAAGGTATTTTTATTTATATGTGAATTGTAAGTAGTTTGCATAAATTGCGTTTGACAATTCCCGAAATTTGAGCTGTACTAACTGAAATTATGAAATTGAAAATTAACCTACCAATTATTAAGATCACTAATACAGTGAAACTTGGTTAAGTGGGACCTGGATAAGTGAGAAACCTCCATAACTGGAACTCATGCTGAGGTCCCAACACTTTGGCACTGAATTACCTCTGTTAGTGGGACGAGGTAAACCTCTATATCTGGGATTTGTTCTTTCGATTTATCATCATAGTTACCTCTATAACTGAGACAGCGAGTAAATTTTGTATGCATAAACCTCTGTAACTGAGATAACATTGTTTGTTTACTCATCCTTATTCTACCCACAAATTCCACACGTAATTCCAAGTCCCCCTCTATTAATGGAACCCTCTGTAAATGAGACAGATATTTATTTATACCTGTATATCTGAGACACTGGGTAAGTGGAATACCTCTATAAGTGAAACGATATTGTAGGTCCCTTGATGTCTCACTTAACCAGGTTTCACTGTATTTTTACACATGTTGTATGTGTAAAAATAGATTTTCATTTGCATATATAGGTACACCTGTAGATACATATCCCATGGGGATATATATTTGTATATTTAGCTTTAAAGATAATAATAATTTGAATTTATACAATCAGGAAATATATATACCTATGTGGGTAGCCGTGGGTTGAGGACATAGTTTTTCAAACATACATGGTTGGTACATAGGTAGTATAATAAGTCCTTAATTAGCATTGTGAATACATCCGATTGTTATACATATTTTATAATTAGACACAATTTATGCAAAGGTATTTACTAATTTAAATATCTCGTTAAAATGTAATACTTAGTTTACAATATTTGTAATCTAAATATTTTTTCAATGATTAAGTTAGTGATTTTGTTTGAGTTTTGATGATTAAGTTGACATTTTCTTTATAATTATATACCTAAGAGTTTCTTTGTCAATCTTAAGTTCTAAGTTGTACAGTATAATTCACTTCGACTTATCATAAGTATTTGTAGGTAATGTTGAAGATTCCAACAATGGAACTGCAATCATATACTTTTCTTCAAGTCTTCATTAGTATCATAAAGCTATCTTTCAAAGATCTCGAGATGCTTCAGTTTCCTATAGATGATTGTTTATTTATATGTTCATTCATTAAATGCATTCAATAACATTGAATAATTATAATTCTTCTCATTCTAAAGACATTGCGATCTTGGTATTTAGTTTTAATCACTATATTTTTTATGTGTTTAGAATATTTTTGAACAAATTTTTATCTAAGCTTATTTTTTAAGCTTAAGGTTTATATATTTCAGTTTACAGATAATTACATAAAATGCTTATTAAACATTGGCCAAGTTTAATACAGGTAATTGAGGTAGGGATGTGGTACTTCCATTTGCATGGTAACGAAAATTATTTTTCTATCATTTTAGTATGCGGTGCCTAATTGTAAGACTGATTAGTATTACAGAAATATGTTTTTACATTCTGATACTTTATTGAACAATATTAAGGATTCATAAATGTCTTGCAATCACTTTTTAGCGCTTTCAACCGTCTATTCATTCGGATGCAACCCCGTAGCATACCTCCGAGTCGAGCGTATTGGTAAAGTTGTCTATTGCCTTGAGTTCATATTACATAACGTGCCTTTAAAAGCCCTTTATAATCAAATACCTCATTAGAAGATTTCATACAATACCCACCGCATTGAGCAAGCGTTATGATTAATGCTCAAACCTTGTCCGTTTGAGAAGAGGCCTTTGGTCAGCAGTGGCCACTTATAGGCTGTCGATGCTAAAATCAACTTACTTTCATTTAAAGTGAACTTTAGTTCATTTCGAAAACCTTTATTTAGAATGCAATCAACTGTTTTATTTACCGTTTTTCCATCGATAATTGACACGTTTTTCAAAAAGAATTTGCGTCAATGATAGGTTATTAATGCATATTTTTATGATTGTAGGGGTTTTAGGTAGTGTTGTAGCACTTTAAAGTGATTGTATTTGATATATATGATACCTATGTAACTTCAATGGGGCCTACCGTATTTTGCTCCTTAGATGGTGCTAGTGTAGACCTCTCGTTCTTCGTCCAGTAGGTAATCAGCTAGTGTCACACCATTGGACCTTCAATATTTGACAGCAGCTGTGATTGGTCAAAAGAATTTCTTCCTACATTTGCGCTGTCTGGTGAGTTAAAATATGGTAGCCCCCTTGCATTTTGCAAATACCATCCGTAATAAAAAAACGAACATAATAATAAACCATTCGAATTTAAAATAGAACAAATATAAAAACATTATTATACTTTGTTGCACCATTCCATATAATATAAATTGTGTACCTATCTAACTAAATAAAGTAGATTAGCTATCAGACAATTATTGTTCGTTCATGTTTGACTAATATATTTAATTACCTATTTAAATATGTTTCAGTAGTTATCGTTACAATTAATATAAATTATAATGTAATCGATCCGTTGTAAAGCTTTGATAAAATTATACTACCGTAGTTAATAGTGATTACTCGCTTCACTTTTGATCCTATATAAATATATGTTATATAGTTTTATTCTACCAACTATCTTATGATATAACTGCCGTTAAAAGCATTCGTGTGTTGTGCCTTTTAATGAAGTATCTAATGTATTCTTATGCAATTGGGTAGTTTCCAGGGTTTCAAAATTAAAAATCTAATTAGTCCTTCGGTTACATAATGAAAAAAATATTAAACACGTATTTTTTTTATTTTCTCGCATTAAGTTGCAATACTTAGTTAAAATGGTGCTAAGTATAAAATGGGAGATCGTTACGTCATAACGTGCTACAAAATGTGACACTCTGTGACGTGACACGATATTTCAAATTAATATATCGTCGAAAGTATTTAATTTTGTAAGAAAAGAAAAAAATACTTGTCTAAAGTTTTAAATTAATGTACCAGACGGACATTGAAATAAAATTTAGGAAACTACCCTATTATCCGTGTGCCTGTAACAAATAAATTTAAGCTTATTTGTAATCGGTGGGTTTGCAATATTTATAGGTACCTATATGTAATCAACATAGTCCTTAAGTCCCAATGTCGCACAAAAGTTAGGGAATGTTCTAAATGTAACAAGTCTATCAATTCTATCAATTTCCTAACCACAGGCACAATCAGAACCACAGTATGATTTAAAATAAAAGATAACAAATATAAAAACCGCGGTCCTAAAAATATTATTTAGGTACTAATAAAAAACTTCGCTGTTATCATTCGAATTTGATTCTGCTTGTAACTTACTGCCCGGTCCCAGGAAATTTTGTTCCTACACTGTGCAATGTACACTAATGTATGTCTAAAAGTTCTAAAATCATTAGGTAATTATGTAATACTAGCTTTTACCCGGATAAAAAGTACCCTATTATTTAATCTGGACTTCTAACTTTACGACTGAGTACTCAGAGTAATCGGTTTAGTAGTTACGGCGTGAAAGCGGAACAAACAAACAAACTCAGTTTCGGATTTATAATATAAGTAAGGATAATAAAGTACGGTACCCATGTATGCGTACTGTCGTGTTCATTCATAGTTTGTTATGTCTGCGCAAGTAAATAGTTTCCTTGTACTGCGAACTCACTTATACGTATGTATGTTAATATCTAAATAATGTTATTAGGGTATATTATATTTATTGCAATTGCATATACTTAGTTTAGGATTTCGGCTGTTGTATTCAAACGTGAACTGAACGAGTGTTTTGAACATTTATAAATAAAACTATTTTGTCAACAGTACCGTCAGTGCCTATCGCACTAGTTGAAAAATATGTTATATTTCACGATGTTTTCATGTTCTAATGCATTGTGATTCTAATACATAGATTACAAACATAAAGTAAAGTATTTTGTGATAATTGATGTCAATTGAAGCGAGTTGCTGGTTTTTGCTATAGGTACATAGTTATAACGGGTGGTCTATCAATTAATTGATTGCGTCTAGGTATCCCTGGGTAGACGAGCTAGATATTGATGTGTGATAGGTATCTAAAAAATAATAATTGTTTCCCTAACGGCACGTCAAAGTAAGATTCATTTTGTAAACTCTCGTTAGACTGTCAGGATTGCACTTCAGTTTCTAACCGTTTTCGCATATACCTAATATTATAGTCTGCGCCTTCTATAAATATGTATATGATCTGTTATCTGCATATTTTTTGGTATACATGTTAGAAATTAAATATCGACTTAGTACAGAGAGAGTACCTAACTATTGTTTACATTACACTAAATTATATGGTTTCTAAAAACCATATCCTTTGTAGCCATTAGCCGTCAAATAATGGTTACTGTTTCTGTACTGAACCAATCTTTGATTTCGTACGTGCATACTAAATAACTGTGTAGATTAACACCAATATTGTGTGCATGTCTATTTATCTACCGACCTACCTCTATAAAACTGAGAAAATCGTGTGTATCTGAAGCTTACTATTGTCATAATTAAGTTCGTTTTATATTCTCAAATATGTTAATGTCATCTGTAACTAAAATATGTAGGTAAGTGTATGCTGCAAAGAAATGAATGAAAGTTATGTCTAGCTTTATGGTGCTTTCTATGATCATCTTCTACGTACAAAATTGCACATTACGTAATTATACTGATTAAATAAATATTTATGTTATTGACAATGTTTGGGTTTTTCTTACCTTGAGTTTTGCCAGTCTCCTGTCTAATGCCAAATATTTAATTAATTTCCAAATTTATAGTAAATGAGGATAGTTTAGGTGCCATTCACGAGAACGTGTTTCGATCCGTTTTTCGATTTCTTATTTTTCAGTTAGGTAGTCGGTACTGAATTTGGAATTGATCTTTGTGTTACGAAAAAGGCTCTCGCTTCTATTACAATGGGGTCTCATTTTGTTATGGTTTGTACGTCTCTTTTATTGTTTAAACACCATCGTTAGTATAAACAGCCGTTTGTTCAATACAATACCGGGAAAAATACCTAATTCGTTTCAATCTAACTGAGATGAATGATCATTCCTGAGGCTGAACAGCCGGACGCGCGGACGATACGATGCATCTGTCGCACGATTGTGCATCTAAGGAAATGTCTTGATTGAAGAGACCTTGATTCATACGCATGTATAAGATATCTATAGGTACAAAACATCATGCTTTTCGTCTTCAAAAGGGGTGTTCACTGAGTATAGGTGTTAACTTGCAACACTATTATTCTATACTAGCAATTTAATACGCCAGTTTTACTAATACCTGGTCGCAAAATATAATAATAATAAAAAATTGGGAACCTATTACTAAAACACCAGATATAATTTTTAATCATTATGAAGTTCGAATGTCTAACTTTGGATTCGAACGTAAGACTTTATACTCTGCCAACGTACCTCGACATTCATTTATTAATGAAATACCAAATTATTTTTCCTGTTATGGTACCTAAATTACCTAACGATTCCTACCGGAAAGTGTGAAGTCTAAGCACGAGGCTTGATTGTTACCTGTTTCATAAAACCTAGTTGGGTTTATACTTGAGTAGGTACCTACGATCCGTACTACCGACGCAAGCTGTGGACTACGATTGTCATCATAATAAATCTTAACAACTAGCTAGCAGTCTCTTCAAATAAAAGGTTACTTGTCGGAAAAAACACGAGGAAAGACTGACCTTCATATTCAATTGACGATCTTGTACCTATATCTATTGTGGGACCTAAGTGAATGGGTATAGCATGCAGCAGTTCTTACATGTCTGATATATGTAGGCTAACTACCCCGTTCCACATAAAAAATAAGATAGATAAAATTAAAGTTAATAATGAATTGGTAGATATTAGTAAGAAAATATTTTTCATGCTTTTCCTATTACGTACTAGATAGGATAGTCGGAACAATTTATACATAGGTTGCTAATCAGTTTATAATTAAGTATAATGTTCAAAGTTTGGCTAATGTACCTATCAACATAATAAATATCGTCAGCCCATGCTCCCCATAGTAGGTACCCACCTATAGTCTCCCTCATTTACTGTAATCGCTGCTGTCTCCCCTTATTTATCACAATCGATCGGTTCTTTTTGCCGGTGTTGCCATTCTTTGTATTTTAAACAAGGACATTGTAATAAAAGTTAACAGTAGGTAGTGTTTAGTACAAACAAGAGTTATCTGCATAGTTTTGAATAATCTAACACAACTTTGATTTTATAATAATTCCATGTTTTAGTACTTACTACGCTGCGAAGCAACTTGAGTCTACCGACTGAGCATTGCGCATCTCCCTCCTCTTCAGCTATACGTTTGAATTTGACATTTGTCAATTGTCATAGCTGCCAATTTCAATACTGATAATAGTTATCAAATATACTAGGCGCGATACTTGCATTAGGTACAAAATCTAAGTATTTTTGTATGAATTGGCGTCATAGGAACCGGCATTTCAAGACCCAGCTTTAACTAACGGTGTCATAGATGAATTGAATACCGTGTACTACTATGAGTACAATGCATTAGATACTCGTCGATTGCGAACGTTGAAAGACTACGTTAGTAAAATGTTTTTGCCTGTATTAATATTATTGTTTACTCCGAGGATATTCTGTGCAAACGACGAAAACGTGACTTATCCGCAAGGTAATAAAGTTCATTGTTGATTTAGTGTAATTAGTTGTTCATAATTGGAACACAATAATTTTATTTTTACTTTATTCAGATGATTTCAAATGTTCTCTGCCTGATGTAAAGAGTTTGGACGCAAATCTAGACATTACAAGATTTAGATCGGATTTCTCGAAAATATCAGAGGTATGTATTTTGAACGTTTTGTTCTTATTTTTAGTCTCATTTGATTTTTATTTTTAATAGGTAAATACTACTTTCATTCAATGCAATACGCTTTATGGTTTAAAGGACTTATGGCAGTATTTATGAAGTTTAGGTACCTAACTACATGTCTGTATATAAGTAGTATTCAAAGTTGAAATCTAAACCTGATCACTGGATTACCAATTTGCTGTTTTAATATTATTTTTTAAATGATTGAAACAAGGGTTTAGTAATAAAGGACTATAGATAGGTAATAAAAATAATTATAATTTCTTAGGCCCTTGAAAGCTTAGATTAGTTAGTTCCATTTGTATTCCAAATAAAAATAAATTAAGTTTCTTCCTTATAATACAAAATTATAATTTTCAGGTGAAATTTCCTGGACTGATAGGCCCTTTGAATGAGAGGCTGATATGTAAAATTAAATGTATTGATGGCAACTGGGTGGGACCTCTTTGTTCTAACACTCCAGGTTAGTATCATTTAGTAGGTACCTGCATAATTTATTATGAACAACCTTCTAGACCTGTAAAATACATTTTAAAAAGTAGGTACATAGAAATAAGGCCTTATGTGGTCTAAATTGGTGCTTATCACCAGACTAATTTATTTTTTTCTCTTTGCATGGAACTGATGTTTCAATGAGTCAATTTTTTTAAACCATGTCCCCCTATACTAGAATTTTCACCTATATCCCTCTTTGACCTCAAAAAGCTGCCATATCATACCCACATGTAGGTAGGTAACACTTAGGTATTCAAATGCATGCTCTCAACATAAATTCCATCAATAAAATATAACTGTGAATGAAACATCAGATTTTTTTTATATTATAGGGTAAATCCTATCCTACACACAATGATGCATCATAGAAATAATTTTATGGCATAATATACAATGTATCCAGTAAATAGTGCACCATTGTATGAGAGGAGAGCTGGTCCAATATCTACCTAAACAACCCAATATATGTACAGTTTCAAAATTATGCCACATTAAAATCACTACTTTGACACATGTTTTAGCATAAAATATCTCGGTGAAAAAAAGTTTTTTTAGCAAGTTTTGTTCATCATATTATTCATGGGTAAAACTATTGGTGGGTAATACTCTACTTATTGGTAGGTTTCTTTTATATCAGGTATAATGGAATTTTATTTTAAAATCTTTAATATTTATTGTATCTATTGACTATTAACAGTTGTACCTATAATGGTAGTAAATAGTAATTAAGGTACTGGTTTGTTTTGTCCTACCTACCTATATCTTAAAATGATATTTAATCAATTTCAGATGGGAGATTCCAGCCCATATTAAGAGAATGCCTGTATAAAAATGAACATCCTCTCTTGGCTATATCTTTCAAGAATTCATCCATAAATGTAAGTGTACTAAGTATAGATGTGACCATTGACCAAGGGCACTCCTTTTTATAACATGTTCTGTAATCAAACAAAATGTTATATATCTGTGGGTTAATGGTCAGTTCAGCTACTCCACTGACCTATCCCAACAAGAGGTCTATTTTTATACATTTTAATCAAGAATGAAGCAGGTACTTACATCATAAGGTAAAGAACATTTACAATAGCAAATATTCATTACTAATGTTTTCCAAGAAAATAATTATTTGCGTATTGACACTAAATGTAAAGCATAATCCAAATAAATTGGTCAATTTTTCCTTATGAGTAGCACACATTGAATTGTAAATGTATTAAAATATGCATTCCAGCAACCTCTACGTTTAGGTAATTTAAAATTATTATTTGTATTTAGCTGTAAATATTTAAACTTGGCGAAGTTATCCTCTAAGTGCCTTTTCACACATACCGGTAAAATTTGTATACACTGCGCCGCTGGGTGCTCGGCGCCGGTTACCCGGCAACCGGACCGTGTAAAAACACACAAAAGGTGTAAGCAGAGGTTTATGCTGTTTACATAATATTATTTAAGGTATGGATGGTAATCCAATGTAATAGAGGCAAACTTAATGCATACATCAAGTATATACTTCCGGACTTTGTTGCAAATTTTGAAAATCATTTACATCAATTATTATGTTTTCGGCTTACTCACGTAATTATTTGACGAGGAACTCGACTAGTGTCAAGCCATGCTAGAGGCTCATATTCATGAGCAGCATTTCGCGACCTGCGACGCGGCGACTGTCGCGCTGCTACTGGCTATTCGAGTCTGCGGGCCCAGCGCGCCCTCTGCAGGGATTCAAATACAAATATCATTTATATTTATAATTTTTAATATAGTTATACTGCTGAATAGTTTGTATGTTTGAGCGCGCTAATCTCCAAAACTACTAGTTCAAATTCAATAATCCTCTGTGTAACAAAGTCAATTTATCAACAAAGGCTATAGGCTAAGTTTTAGCCGCTACATTACGCTATGACGAAAATGTCCGAACAGTGTTTTTTTTTTTTTTTTTTTTGTGGTTTTTGGGTGTAGCTAGTTATGTTGTTATATTTTTTCAGAAAGACACACATTTCCCCCATGGGTCGGTGTTAGTATCCCGGTGCAAACACTTTGGCTTGTACAAGATGAAAGGTGACAATATGATACATTGTGAAAACGGAGAATGGGCCCCTAAGCTACCTGAATGTGTACCAACCTCTGTTGTTACCAACTTTACAGGTACACTTAATTAATTCTTTTTTTTAAGTTTACCTCCGCTATGATTGAAAATGATAATTACTGTGCCTAGTAACTGTTAAGTTTCTTCTATTGCACCATGTATAGTTTTTTTTATGAATACAGTCAAATTCAGTGATAGTCTATCTCTGTACTGCATCCATCTTTATTTTCCTACCTATATACCAAATAACTTTATTGATTATATACACTTTATTAATTGATTATATACATACATTTTAAATAAATAGTGAATCACAATGTTTCAGGAGATGCGCCGCCAACGATTCAGTACACTATAGTAAGCGGATCGGCAGTGGTGGAGCATTCGGGGGAGTTGTTCGTGTTCCCCGACAGCACCCTGCGACTAGACTGCGTGTCGCGTCGCGCCCTTGGTGACCCCGAGTGGAGCTGGACACAGGCCGTTGGACAACATACTTCTGGTACACATTTTATACCTTATTTATACAAAAAACACGGTGTCTTCCTAAGTACTAACTATTCTATTTATGTACCTATTGATTGCTAGCGTTTATCTATATTAATAAAACCAAAAAGTACTAGAAGTATCACGAAAGAAACAATGTAACGAAGAATTGTATTGTGAAACCTATTTCCTTTCGTTAGTCTCGCTAAAACTCGAGTCCAAGGCAGGTTTAAAATGTGAGAAAAGTAAATTAGGCGATACGAACTAATACGTTTTGCCGAGTCATCTAATAAAGACTCTTTAGTTTTGTTTTTTTCCTCCTCAAGTTATAAACTTCTGTATGTGTTTCGCGAATGATAATGGCTGGTTGCAATCGTTTTAATTAAAGGCTACACTGGCTAATATCGTGTTTGTTAAGCGAAGATGCTGCTTAAGCCGAATTGCTAAAAAATCTAAGCGAAGTTTTTCGTAAACTGTAAAGTGTTATTATAACTAAGTCATTATTTGTTTCATTAGCGTAATATATTCTATCTGCATATTGAGAGAAAAGGCAAGGCGTGGAATTAGATACCTACTTAAGTATTTTAATTTGTTTACAATACAATAATCCATTCTATTACCAATCAAAGAAACTTGTCATTATGCCTGTAGTATTTTATTGTTCTGAATTGCGAATACATATTTTATGATCCTTGGATGCTACTTTGCTAAATTGTATTAAACCTGTGTTGCTATTAAGTACTCGATGCCCAAATCACTTGCGAAGATATCATACAACATATAAACTATGTTGTCTTTTGCTAAAACATACTATATATCGGCGGTCGGGCAATATACTACAGGGTGTTAAAAAAATGTCATTAGTAGCAGGGAGTCTAGAATTGTGTCCGGTATATGGCAATAAGCTCACTCCCTATTACATGGGACTCATAACATAAATAGTGAAAAGTGAGTGTTACATTGTACACCTCTGCCTACCCCTTCGATGATAAAAGGCGTGGTATTATGTAATGTTATATGTTATTGTAATAAGTTGTAGCAGATAATAAACACTGTTTATATTTCTATTTTATCTAATACTGGCTTCACAGTTTCACACACTGCTGCGCTAATGATCTCTATAATATTTATATTAAATGCAATAATTACTATTAAATGTTGCTGTACATTTTACAATAGCTATTAAGGAATGTCAATAATGTCCTATAAAAATAAAATTAAATGTCTAGTTTGTTTCAATTCCATGGCTGATTTTTATTTATTAGTACGTTGTTTCCAGCATGGTCGAGCGAAGAAGGCGAGAAAGACTCTCATTACCGGCTGACGCTGAGCAAGATGTCTGTCCGGCACAGCGACCAGTACACGTGCACCTCGCCCGGAGGACACACCAACACCGTCAGCATTAAAGTTGTTAGTGAGTTGTATTTATTAAACTGTTGTATTTAAGTGTGGGAGAGCCAAGCTTCGGCACGAATGGGCCGGCTCGACCGGAGTGATACCACGGCCTCACAGAAAACCGACGTGAAACAACGCTTGCGTTGTGTTTCGTCGTGAGAGGTTACCGGAGGCCCAATTACCCTCCTCTTCCCCAATCTCCCCAATTCCTGAATCCCCAATGATCCTCAAACTCCTAATCCCCAAAAGGCCGGTAACGCACTTGTAACGCCTCTGGTGTTCCACGTGTCCATGGGCGACGCCGATTGCTTACCATCAGGTGATCCGTCTGGTCGTTTACCGGCTTATGCCATAAAAAAAAACTAACTGGCTTCTGCTAGCGGCCTCGCCCACGTTCCCAGGACATTTTAAGTTTGTTTCTAGACTATGTATACCTTTACACCACATCCAAAGCCGTCCAGTTATTTTTCCATGAAAGACTAACGGACATACATACCTAATTATGTACCTTTATTACCGTATTGTTCTGGAAGTAAAGATCTCTTGACTGCTGTAGTGTTCACAAGTGCGACTGCCGGGCCCGGGGTCTCGGGTTCGATTCCCAGTTCGGGCAAAATTACTGGGCATTTTAAAAGAATCTTAGTAATAGCACGGAGTCTGGAAATTGCGTCTGGTCTGTGGCAATACGCTCACCCCCATATTACATGGGACTCATAACACAAATAGTAAAAAGTGGGTGTTACATTGTACAGTGGCATTAAGTGCCGTAATGTGCACCTCTGCCTTCCCCTTCAAGGATAAAAAGGCATGATCTTATGTTATATAGTTCTCATATATTCAACTCCCTTCTGTGTAAGAGCTGGTAAATTGTCTTGTCAGTGGTCATAACTCGAGAACGGTTAAACAACTACATATTTCAGTTTTTAATACTTTTATAATTCGATAATCGGTTAGCGTCGCGTCATACTGTTCATAATTTAGGTGTACCTACAAGTCAAATCTATCTTTTAAGTGTTTTTGATTAATATTTTCGTTAGGTATTAGTCATTACAAATAAATACTCGCCTAACATAACAAATAATAAAATAAAATAACATATAATAAAGTGGAATAAACAAAAATGTTTTTTCACAGATGTGGTGTGTCCAGCAGTGATAGTGACGTCACAATACATTCGGCAGTTCACACAGGGAACGAAGTTGGGCAACTCGGCGCACTTTAGTTGCCAGCCAGGGTTCCACCTTAACGGATCAGCTATACTCACCTGCATGGGCAATGGTAAACATATTAACATTAAACAAAATATAAAATAAGGAAGCCGAAGGAAAGATTGGGTTCGATCAGGATCAGAAAAAAAGTAGTCAAATTCAATACTTTTATTGAAATGTCACAAACGATACTTTTTTATGTTTTTTTTTATTGGATCGCAACTTATGACGTCATTATATTTCTGCGTCAAATAGCATACTTATTTCCTTAAAATTTGCGAGAAAAAATCCAAAAATACATAGGTAAATTGTAAAATCAATGGATGAGGATGAGAGTATGATTACTTTTTAATTATTTATTGCATTGACAATTTATTTTAAACACCTAGGAATCTAGCCAATTGTACCCGTTATATGATAATGGTGTCACCCCTATTATATGGGGCTCAGACCATAGCTGATGAATTGTGGGCAGCTACCTCTTTCCTCTCTACCTCTTCGGGAGACAAAATGACGTGATGTTATGGTATCATCATGTCTTAAGGCACTAAGCAGCGTTTCTGCTCAATTTTTGCAGCAGAAACTTCAAAATACTGTATTATTTTCTGAAATTGATGCCCTTTTCCCCATACTTTATCATTACTGAAGTAGGTGTATAACAAAAACAAATAAACCTATAAGATTATAAAAATACTTTTTTGCAGACTAGTATTTAGTTAGCTTCATTTATCCCGATCTACATCGCATAAAAGTATACTTACATCGTTGTAATGGTAACATTATCTAAGTGTTAAATAGTATTTTCTCATTAGGTCAATGGTCATCATTGCCGCCGACATGCGAAGAAACCTTCTGCCCTATGCTGAAGACTTTGGGTCCTCATCTGAGCGTCGTGGAGTATAACTCTTCGTTCGGCGGCCGTGCAATGTTCCAATGTAGTTGGGGCTACCGACTGATCGGCGCGCCGGGCTTGGAGTGTGAAATGGATGGGAAATGGTCAGGAGAAGTACCTCACTGCATTCGTGAGTATCAATACGAAAGTTTTTAATGTCTAGGTCTAAACTAAGCAGGCATTCTATATTAGATAACTAACAAAAATATGAATAAAATCGATATCTCCATTTATCCTTCTTATTATTTTATTCGTATAACTGGGTACACAAATTATGTTAGTCACATTTTCATATTGATAAATTTTTATAATTATAATTATTTATTACTTTCACTATTAATGTAACGTAGGATATCTAACATACTCACCCTCGAGCCCCTTGTTGTTGCGTCAGTGCTGGCGAAGTGTCGACCTGCTCGCTGTAACCTCTCGCAATGAGTGTCGGGCAGCGCGATAGCTTCACGACCACAACCTACCCACACTATTTTAATTGTCGTGATATATATGTTTATAAATTTTTTATTTTTCCTTTCTTCGGTGACGGTACACGTAGCACTTGTTTATGTATGTATACTTATTTTTATTTATTTATTTATTTATTTATTTATCGCACACACAGAGGTCTGTGTTTAAATTTCTTCCTTTTCTTTTATTGTTTTAACATGTGTCTTATGTATTCCTATTATTTTCCTTTAAATAATTTTTCGTTGCTTCCGTCCGTGCGTCACTGCAGGGGTGCCAACTGAAAACCAGTGTTGGGTACTTACTGTGCCCAGCTTATACTGAGTTGGCGAGCCCTTTCGTCGTGGACATGCTGCCACCCTGTTTCTTTTATTTTGCTTTTTTTATAATGTTTTTTTTTGCCTTTATTGTTGTTTTTTTTTTGTTATTTTATTTTTTTTATATTGTTTTCTTTTTATTTTTCAATGTTTATGTTGTGTGTTAATTTTCGGTAGTCCATGTCTGGTGGCGAATAGATTATTTTTCTTTCTTTCTTTCATCTTTCATATTATATATTTTGACATTTTTGCTTTTACAGCAATATACTGCCCTGGGCCGCTGGTGCCGACAAATGGGCGCTTACTGACGGAGCCGTCGATAAACAACGGCAAGTACCCGGTTGGCGACTTGATGATATATTCCTGCGACGATGGCTACGAGATTGTCGGTGAATCCTCTATAGTCTGCACAGAAAACGGATTTTGGTCCCACCCTCCACCTTTTTGTCTACCACCCTCTGAGATACGGAAAACAGATACTATTTATGTCGAAAATACTACGCTCATTCATATAGAAGATTAAATTAGTGTTTGTAAAAACAAAACACGAAACAAATGTTATTGTTATTTCAACTTATATCATGTTGCGCAACAGGACTTTTTAAGTTGTTGTATTTGTTGTATAAATATTTATATTGTTTAGTTACCGGACATTGTGCCTCAGAAATAGTTAAATAAGGAAAAATATAAATTGTATAAATAAATATACATTTTCTTTTTTTAATAATCTGTAGATTGGTATCATTTGTTTCTTACAATATAAAAATAATATTTGGCTGACTGTTTAGTTCTCATTTTCCTGAAACCCTAATTTTATTTTGCTGTAAGTAAAAATAATATTTTTATTTGATTCAAAGAAATAAAGTATTTACAATAGGTACCCATCAGTTTTTTTTATTTATTTGGACGTACCATAGCCTGAAGAAGGCGACATACATTCGTTGGAGATGAGAAAATCATCCAATGTCTACTCCCGCCTTGGGTTAGGTGAGAGGGAGTTTCAGACTCTTAAAGACTAAAAACCACCCCGTTCCTACTCTTGCTCTTCGAGCCGGACCTCCGGCAACCCGTTAGGCCTTCCCCGACTACCGTATCGGGCATCAGCCCTACTGAGCCCCATCTGTAGTGGCCTGTGGCCTGTCATCACATAATGTAGTTAAAAAAATTCGCTTCGTAATCTACGTGCCGGAAACTGCCATTGCCAAGTGTCAACTGTCAAGTGACCAAGTGTCAGTCAGGCAGTCAAATAAATAGTGTCGTCTTGTTGGAGTGTACACTTATGAAGTGTGCAATCGAATTATATTTATTGAAGAAAAATACTATGCAGTTATAATAATAAAGACAAAGCTTTAAATTATTTAGCCATTAATAGTTTATACCTAAAAATGCGAGCGGTAGTGTTAACATTGCTTTGTTTGGGAAGTTCGTGTTGTTTTGGCGAGGATGTCAAAAAAGTTTCATACAAAATGCCGACAGTAGGAATATCTGTGCTTGTTCGTAATAAAGCACATACATTACCCTTCTTTTTAAGTTGCATACGTAACTTAAATTATCCTAAGAATCGAATATATTTATGGTAAGTTTATTTAGAGCTTACTTATTCATGACGAGCTTCATGGTTGAAATTTACGATGACTGAAATAAATAGAGGTAATTGATAGGATATCCTCTACTGGTCATTGGCCTATTGATTCCCCTTTGTTTCCTATTTTTTATAGTACTTTTCAAAAATAGGTTATTTAATTGCCTGTGGAAATAATTTTATGATAAACTTTTTAAATACAAAGTTTTTAATTCTAACATTGACATATATGATGTGGAAGCATAACTGTTGCACTTTAGATATTATTTCAATTTACAAGTTAACCATAATGTGTGGTTATATTCATGAGGCATGGAACAGGATCTGATCAAACTGCCCATAACAAAAGGTCTTTGTGTAACAATATAATACTTTGTGTTCCTCCAGTTGTTATTAGCTGTGTAACATTGTTTTTATTTTTACTCAGGATTTATAGTGATTTTAATGAAGATAAAAGTATTGAAATCCTTGAACGATGGGTTGATAAGTATGCACCTCTATACAATGGTGTGTATCTTACTAAAAACAGTTCAAGCGGACGCCTCCATAGTGATGAAAAGAGCCCAATACATTGGAGCTCCAATCACTTCAAACATGTGATATCGTTGAGAGAAAAAGCTCTGGATTTTGCTAGAAAAATGTGGGCAGATTATCTCTTTGTGAGTACTGTTTGAGATTTTATCTCTATCTATAGTTATTCTATTTCTTTTCGGGTAAGGTTACTAAGCTTTAAGGTAGCCAAGTAGCCAATGCACCAGAACTCGATATTACTGAACAGCATAAAATTCCATATTAAGAATTAGTACCTATACTTATTATAAAATTTTTATTACTGGTGTTCTTTATGCTGAACATAGATTTTCTATTTGAATTTAGAACACATCTGCGAGCTTATGTTATTATTTTCCCAATAGTAAACCTTTTTGATTTCATTGACTTCTGAGCAGTCAGTCATATCATAATATTTAATTATATAGTTATATAACAATATGACACTTCTTATTTTTTACAACTTAAGAAAATAAGTTGGTTTTAATAATAATAATTGTACCAAACTTCAAGATTGGAAGTGGTGATAAAAAAAGAGTACAGGGGTCAATGTTCTCATATCTTATTAAAAATATATTCATATGTGTATAAGATAACCCTATAACAAAATTAATTCCTGACATGATAAGCATACATAGTGTAAATTAATTTATAGATGTGGTTAATAGGCAAATTTATAAAAATGTTTTTATTGCTTTTCCGTTATGTTACAGATGATAGATGCCGATGTGTTTCTTACAAATCCATCTACGTTAAGTGTACTTGTATCAAAAGACCTTCCCATCACCGCACCAATGCTTGTATCTGATGGACTTTACTCTAATTTCTGGTTAGAAAGTTGGTCACACATATGCATGACAGCATGTGCATTGTTCTACAAAGGTGCTTTTCTAAAGCTTCATTCAAATCTGTGCAGAGACAGTATACATCACTTTAATAATTCTGTTTTAATCACTCGTTGGCTTCTTAGCGACAAATGGTTACTGTCTCTAACTGAATCTAGGTTAAGTTTGTTACCTGCATACAATATAACTTAGCTGAATTAAAGACTAATGGGACTGCTTGAAAGCTGTCTCTAAATAATTCAGATTGGCTTGCACTGTATGAATTTTTAACAAAATTTTATAATTTTACAATAAAGGTATAATTTCAGTATATGACTAATTGATTGCAGGTGTGGTATGACTGACAACTACTATTATCAAAGAACAGATGACTATAAGCCCATACAGAGGATGGAGAAACAGGGTTGCTATGAGGTTCCGATGGTTCATACTGCTGTCTTAGTTCAACTGAAGACCAGAATATCAGACCAACTAACATACAACCCAGATAAGATACCTAATTATGATGGCCCTGAAGACGATATTATAGCATTTGCAGTGAATGCTAAGAAAAATGGTAATATTATGTTGTATCTAATAAAATTATTTTAATAAGTCCTCTATGGACTGCCTCGTAGGCCAAGTGGTCACAAGTGCGACTGACAAGGACAAGGGGTCGAGTCCCGGGTCAGGTGAAGTACTACTGGGTTTTTAATAAAAATCTCAGTCGTAGCGCAGAGTCTGGAATTGCGTCCGATATATGGCAATAGGCTCCCCCTATAACATGGGAGTCATAACATAAATAGTGAAAAGTGAGTGTTACATTGTACAGTGGCAATAAGTGCCATAATGTGCACCTCTGCTTACCCCTCGGGGATAAAGGGCGTGATGTTATGTTATGTGTCTCCCTCGAACTGATACCTGTGCCCTTGTCATACAATTAGCTATGACTCACTATTTATTTTCTTGTGTACAGGTATAACGCTACACATTTGCAACGATGATCTGTATGGATTTGTACCGGTACCTTTAGAAGACAACCATGATCCAAAGAGTGATTTAGAGCAGCTGTTGAACATAAAAACGGAGGCGATTGGACGCGGGAGTCCATTGCCCCTGGACCCGTTCCTACAGGACTATGTAACATACCCTGAGCTCTGGAAGTTCGGTTGTAACGAAATCTACATGATAAACTTAGAGAGACGCACAGAGAGAAGAGAATTAATGGAATTAAGTTTCAAAGAATTAGGCATGGATGTCAAGCATTTTAAGGCTGTTGACGGCAGGTAAAGATGTACTTGTTATTTGATTTAAGTAATACTTTATTTGCACTACACGATTTGCGACATTTTCACGAATATGAATCTAGCATCTTGTTTTTAAGACTAGTTATTCGATCTTATGTAACAAAGAATTGGTCAACTTGGATATCTTGGTTTGGGTACTTTCCTGCTGGGGCCATGCCTTCACTGATTACCTACTAGTAATTTTGACCAAAATATCTGAATGTCATAATTATATTTTTCAGACAATTGGACATGAATAACCTGAAGGATTTGGGTGTAACATTAATGCCTAATTACGAAGATCCTTATCATAAAAGGTAATTTCATTTAATAAGTAGGTACTCCATATAAAAAATAAAAAATTATGTAACCAATTTACATTTTAATTGTTGCATTTTTGTTGTAGACCTATGAAAGCAGGCGAAGTAGGATGTTTTCTCAGTCATTACTACATATGGGAGGAGGTGAGTGTTTGTTCTATACTATAATTATTTTTTTAATGTACCTTGTAGCTAAGCATCTTGCAGTTGTATAGACTGGTTACCATAATTTGACATCTATCGAAGATCAAATTAAATCACTTTAATGCTGATAGTGTGTACAGGTTGGTTTACAATTTTTGACAAAATATGTTCCAACTAGATTCCCTTTTGGGCACCGCAAAAGTACTTACTCCGCTTACAAAATAATAAGAATCATTAATATTATGTCTCCATGTGTTATTTTCAATACTTACGTTACAATTATTTAATTATTTAAAAATCTTATTTATCTATTGTTAAGATTTTATATTTAAAGCCACTAAACAAAGATTAAAATATTTCAGATATGACTTATACAAATTAATTATGTGTTACGGCTTATTTACTCAGCTGTTTAACGAGGTAGCTCGACTAGTTTCAAGCAGTTGAAGAAACTCATATGAGGGTATGAGCAGCAGTGTATCGCACAGCAAACAGTTAATTGACTAAACCGTAAAACAATTCAATATTTCTTACCAGTGTTGTAACTTATGGCCTTATAAAATTTTTACTAATGAACTTAAACAAAATATAAATAAAATGTCTACGTTATAATGTTTTCAACTTTATTGAAGTCACACTAAATACAAATGTTTTGTGAACAGATCGCGGAGAAGCGCCACAGTATCGCGTTAGTATTGGAGGATGACATACACTTCGTACCCTACTTCCGCAACAGATTACTGCGACTACTGCGCGAGATCAAACCACTAGAATGGGACCTGGTGTGAGTTTTAATATTTAATTAATTTTTTTTTATTGCATGAGCCGGTAAACGGTCAGATGGATCACCTGATGGTAAGCAATCGGCGTCGCCCATGGTCACCTGGAACACCAGAGGCGTTACAAGTGCGTTACCGGCTTTTTGGGGATTAGGAGTTTGAGGATCGTTAAGGATTCAGGAATTGGGGAGATTGGGGAGGGGGAGGGTAATTGAGCCTCCGGTAACCTCACTAACACAGCGAAACACAACGCAAGCTTTGCTTCAAGACGGTTTTCTGTGAGGCCTGGGTATCACTCCGGTCGAGCCGGCCCATTCGTGCCGAAGCATGGCTCTCACACACATAATACTACTATTTTACTAAAAGAAGAAGTTCCTAGAAGTTCCTATTCTTTTAAAAGGAACTTGGTCTTGCATTAGGATTTTCTCCTAAGTCGTGGGTGCGTTTCCAAACATCAATTTGGGAATACACAAAGAGATTTCCGTGCGGGAACCGAACGCTCGACACGTACAACAGACAGTTGCCTAACCTTTGAGCCTGTCTTGATACTTAGGCAGCATGTTTAATGTCAATGACTCACGTAGCTAATATTTTAAACACGCTTTTGTTAGGTCGACCTACAGCAATAAAATCTAAGAATTTGAATTACATACATGTAATTCTAATTGCATCACCCTGAAACTTGGCAATTATATTTATATTACATGACCATATTGCCTCGTTGGCGGAGTGGTCGCAAGTGCGACTGCGGGACAAGGAGTCTGGGGTTCGATTCCCGGGTCGGGCAAAGTAACAATGGGTTTAAAAAAAATTCTCAGTAGTAGCACGGATTCTGGAATTGTGCCCGGTATATCACCGCCTATTACATGGGACTCATAACATAAATAGTGAAAAGTGGGTGTTACATTGTACAGTGGCATAATGTACACCTCTGCCTTCCCCTTCGTTGATAAAAGGCGTGATGTTATGTTATGTGTACATGACCAATTGACCATACACTATTATGGTTTGATGAAGGAATTTGTAGGTAGCTGATGTATCCTTGTACCTACTACCTTCTAGAAAATATATTGCTTAGAATAAACGCATTAGATATGTTCATCTCTTATACGAATTATTTTAATACATTTCGGTATATGTGAGTGATGGCTCTGGTCGTATCTTCAGGTACATAGGTCGTAAGATCCTGCAGGACGCTGAAGAACAATACGTGACGGAGCATACGACGAGGCCGCTGTACTCGTACTGGACGCTCGGGTACTTGCTCAGCGACCGCGGCGCCCGCAAACTGCTAAGCGCTCGCCCCCTCGATCGCATGCTACCCGTCGACGAGTTCCTGCCCATCATGTTCGACCAGCACCCCAAGTGAGTATTCTTAAATAAGTGTATGTTCCATTTAAGTTCCAGATAAATAATTATTACACAAACCTACTTAACTAAAAATTGCGGGTTACTCACGTGAAAATAATGAAAAAAACTAATAGTTTCGAACCACAGAGGGGTTCTTCCTCATGAGCAGCGTGGGTGGTCGCGTGCAATGTCGCGCAGCACTACTACTATTTTTCGGTAATTTAGGATGTCTTACTATGGCTATTATAAAAACCTACTTCTTACAAAATACATCCAATCCAATGGCTATCAAGACCTTTTGAAACGGAAACGGACCATTAATTTAGCTTCTAAGATTACAAAATAAAAACATAAAAAGAATAGTTCATTTGCAAAATAAGTTAAAGAAATGAACTTGATGACATTTTTTCAACTTAATGATATCGGATTTCTTTTTTTTAAAACATAGCCCCTCATTAGTATTTTCTTCTGTGGCGTGCGTGGGTTCCTTTACAAACAAACAAGTTCACATACACACGACACCCAGACCCGGAACAACAATTAGTGGATCACACAAAGAGTTGTTACGTGCGGAAATCGAACCCGCGACACGTTACGCGGCAGCCCAGCCACCGCACCAACCTTACAGTCTTATTCGCCTGGTCTAAATGTAGCAACGCGAGGACCGGAATTCCTTTGTGTTAAAACCTTTCCAGTTATGAACTAATTTAACATTCAATAATAATATCATTTAAAACACATAGCCTGAATTGAAAGACGGCTAAGAGAATTAAAAAAATAAAATAAAAATAAAAGCTAAGAGAAATACGAACGTACTTTTCCATCCATTTTTTGTGGTCAAGTCAGTTTTTGTGTTCTCTTCCTGTGGCGTTATGGTACATAACAAATTTTTAATTACAGTGCGACATGGAAAGCGCATTTCCCTACGCGCAACCTGGATGCTTACTCGGCGGCGCCCCTCCTGGTCCACCCCACCCACTACACGGGACAGGAAGGCTACATTAGCGACACCGAGGATTCTGACCTCGTCACTGAAATAACATTCCAACACTACAAAAACGAACTCTAATCATGATGCCATTTTGTAAGTCATTATTCCACTACGATATTACGTAGTTTAGGTACCAAAGATAGATTTTTATATAGTCATTTTTATTCATATTCTAGTGAGTACTCGTTAGGTTATTATTAACCTTTAACTACTGACGTGGGTGTCTCATAGAAGGCGAGTTCACAAAAATAAGAATTTGCCAATAAACTTCCCAATAATTGTGTTGTAGCTAAGATAATTGTATTTTAGAAAAATGTATGTTATATTTTTTTAAGTTATGCGAAATTTAGTTTATATAATGTGTACCAAAAAAATACTGGTTTCATTAGAAAATATTGTTTTTTTTGCACGTCCGTAATAGAATAATAATGGACATATCATATATTAAAGTAAATATTGTGCAAATCAGTAAATAAAAATAATCCATTTCGATTATTTATTAAGGTATGTCACGTCACCATTTGTAATATGACTAAGCCACGTCAGGTTAAAAAAATCATATCATACGGTCGGGAACAGTTGAATTTTTGTTTCTAAAGCTGTCAAGTGTAAAATCTTTATCTGGCTCTAGTGAACTACTAATTGTTATATTAATATAATGATGGTAAAATTGGTATATTGACACAAGCGATACCTAAAAGTGAAAGAAGACTAAACTTTTATATAATAAGACAGATATGAATTGTTTCAACATGTTAAAGCAATGTTTCTTAAACACTTTCACATTATAATCACATATACACAGTATATTGATGCGTTGCGCTGCGTGGCTCGCTTGCACGCGTTGATGGTATCATCGTCCGGGAGTGCGGACGGACGCTCATTAACGTGGAAAGTGCGTCCGTCACGGTTTGATATCGCACGGATCTACTATTACTACATCTATAATATAGTGCGTTTCAAAGTCATTGCAGAATGGACTACGTACCGACATATGTAATTTATATCATCACCACGCCTTTTATCCCTGAAAGGGTAGGCAGAGGTGTACATGACTTCGCACTTTTTGCTATTTATGTTGTCCCCTGCAATAGAGGATTGCCGTATTGCCATCTACTGAGCACAATTTCAGACTATACGCTACTACTGAGATTTTAACAACCCAGCATTACTTTGCCCGACCTCGGAATTCAAACCCGAAATCCCTGGCCGCGTAGTCGCAATTGCGACCACTCGGCCAACGAGGCAACGGGTAACAAGCAGTATAATTGATACTATATCTTAAACGAACAAACTAATGCGAGATCTCTTTCTAAAACGTTACACATACTATCCACACAACTAAGTAATTGACAATGTGTCGATGTGTCAATTTACTACTCTATACATAACTAGCTTCCATGCCGTTTCATTCGCTCTGTTCGGCCCTTAGCTACTGATCGTAGCGTGATAAATGCACTATCCAACATAATAAGATTTTTTCAAATTGGTCCAGTAGTTCCTGAGATAAGATTAAGTACCACTGTAATTATTTTACGATGACATTTTTTGCAAGTCTCCAACTCATAAATCTAGATTTAGATAGTGCCCTACCCGGAAGCTAAAGGGTAGCCGAAAGTAACCCCAGTGGGTCATATAGCTTGCTTATTTCACTCAGTAGCGCGCGTTTTGTCAGTTTCTCTTGGATTGGTAGATCCCATTGGTATGTAAAGCTATCGTTTTGTTGATTCTACCTCATGCCCAGCATTTTTGAGTTTGTTGTTTGTTCTGGATTAAAGTCGAGGTTTGGATTATGGCTCTTTTGAACCTCTTGCAAGTCTTCCAAAATCACGGATTCGTTTGTTTTCCATTTTCTCAAGTTGAATCCGCCTTTTTTTAGCAACGCAATCAATTGTTTAACCAGTATTTTTGATGCGTCAATAGTATCCTGCCCGTAAACTAAATCATCCATGTAGAAATAATTTTTCAAGATGTTTGCAGCTTCCGGGTAGGGCTACCCTTTTTAAGTATATCTTAAAAGGCGTTAGCCGTAATGGCCGACATCGATGCGAAAATGAAGCCTGCAAATATTATAATAATTCAGTTGACCATTAACTGCCATCGAACTACAACCGCGGATAAGCATCCAATTAAACTTTCGTGTAACTTTACGAATAAACTGATTATTGGGGCATCTGTGGTTTTCGTCAACTCATATATCTACAACAAATCAACTACTACTACTACTACTACTACTACTTGGCTACACCTGAACCATACACCAAATGATATAGAGTTGCTAAACAAAATAAATACAAGAACTGTATAGAGGTAGCTGTAAGGTTATGGTAATGATTGACTAATGTCTACTTCTAGACTAGACACATTTAAATAATCAATTGTGACTTTGGCAAAGTTCCTGTGTTTACAAGTCTATGTTAGCTTGATTTTATTGGCAGCGTCTGATTGCAAGTTGACGTCGCCATAATATTTCATCACTCTATATTAATCTACATATCTGATTTTTTATTCGTCTATTTTAGTCCATCGGATTTCGTATACAATATGTAATTAATAATAATAAGCCTAATTGACTTTGATCGATTGTTGAATTGTTAATCTTATGCAATAATAATAACAACAGTATACTTTAATCCTATAGCAGTGTAATATCATTAAATAATTATTGTTTTGTGATAAATCCTACTAAATGTAATAAGTTTGTTCATCAGTTATGTTGTTTTTTAATTTAGTTCTATTTATATTATTGAGACTTTAAATGCATTTATTATATTTTAGTATAAGTTTACTTTGATGCAAGTATGCAATTAATTGTTTATTTTAACTTTTAATTGAATTTTTATTTAATATATTTGATTGATTTACGTATGTGCCATAACAGGTTCCTAATTATTTGTAATCTTAATATAATAAACATGCATAACCAACAGGCAATTTTTATTTTAATGAAACCTGAAACCATACTGATTTCTACAATATTATGATTTCGTCATTTTGGCATATATTTTCATTATTTAGTTACCAAATTAGGAATTTACCATACGTCTTCCAGTGTAGATGCCATGAAAAGGATTCTAAAATTAAAGTTTCCAAGGGAGTACTTATGCGAGCGTGTGGCGCGGCTGCTGATGATGATCTCGTACAGGAAGTTGCTGCAATTGTGAGAGCGAGCTACGAGGAGATGAGTGAATGCCGCGCGGCTCTCGAGCGCATGGTGGACGCGCTGAGCGGCGAGCTCGCCGCGTCCGCGCCGCCGTGTGGCGATCTGCGGCGCGAGCTCGAATGCTGCTACCTCGCGCACGCGCACCAGCCGCTCAACTGCTCCCACCTCGTCACGGAATTCATGCGATGCGCGCGCGACCACGCTCTCCGTGATCATTCATAATGCGTCTTCATACATTTTACATTACAGCATAACAATGTGCAACCATTATCATCCAGCGGTGCAGTTACGTGATTTTTTGTTATCATTGTTTTTGTATATGCCTCAATTTACGTGTTTGTATAATTAAAATTAAACCATTATATGTAAAGGGGTTTATTATTTGCCAAATATGATAAAAATCAAAATGTATAGCTTACGCACGAATGACTACACAAACTGTTATCTACAAGCGAATAATACTCGTATTATAATTTAGAGGCTGCTATCATCTGGTGTAAGAGTTCGATGACGGTCCTGGTAGGTCGGCCGGTCATGCCACGCAACAGGTACGGGGTGTCGTTTCCCTTCGTATAGGCCACGTTGTGCGTGTCGAGGTGTACCCACTGGCTGTCCAGTACAAACTGCCTGAGGAAGGCGGCACAATTGGCAGAGTCCCCGTATTTATCGCGTCCTGTGTTCGCTACGTCTGCAACTTCACAGTCCTTCACTCGGTCGGCATAAAACTTCCACAGCGGCATTCTCCAGATTCTGTCCCCAGTCTGAGCACTGGCAACTTCCAGAAAATGGTATAAGTCGTCAGAATTTGAGTAACAGGCGCTTGCGGCTCCACCTAGGAAGTGTAATAGTTCTTTGGACATGGTGCCTATATCTATAATAAACTTGGGCCAGAGGTTTCGAGCATATATCAAACTGTCTGCAAGGAGCAAACGTCCTTCTCGAGATGGCATTCTTATTAGAATAGATTTATTGTTTGAACTACAAATGAGGTCACCGAATTTCGGACTATTTCCATTGGGCATTAGTTCGCAGAGCGGCAGAATACCTTTGATGTTAACGGGGAGTTTTAATTTCGCTGCAGCTCTCGTGATGGCTAATACACAAGCTGCTCCAGCCATGTCACCTTTCATGTACTTTAATTGTTTACATGATTTCAAGTCTAAACTTCCACTATCAAACGTGACACCTTTACCGATCATTACCACGGGGCGAGTGCATTCATTAGCTCCGTAATAGCTGATTTCTAAATACAGCGGGGGTTGTACTGACGATTTCCCAACTGATATAAATCCACCCATTCCGTGATTAGCTGCCCACCCCTTCGTTCTTACCTCTACATTTATATTCAACTCGCATAAAAGGTCAACTGCTATTTTAGCAAACTTGGTAGGATTTAAGATATTGGCTGGCATTTCTTGTAAGTATCTAGCCAGGTTTTGGGCTTCTGCTTTCAAGTTTCCGATTTTCCACCCATCTATGTCACAATCATCGTAAAGGTTTAGAATTGGTTTCGGTGAAATTGCTTTATCTATAGAAATACTCTTATATTCGTTAAACTGCCAGACAGAAAGTTCTGCCCCTTCGGCAGCGGCCTCAGCATTTCCAAAGGACTCTACATCAATTTCTTTAGGATTCAACTTGTGAAGCGCCATAGCGCCAACGCCAGCCGCTATTCTTATAGCTTCTTTAGTTTCATCCAGTCGTTCTAGCTTGTTGTATTTGGTACATTCACTTCCAAGACCAGCGACTGCGACAAAAGTATAACATGGGTCCAAGTCGTAAAACACTCTAGCCTCGCCAAGTTTTGGTATGGGACCAAGCTTCAACAAAGACCACAACCTTCCAGAAACTTTCTCGTCATATTTCCGTGCGCTTGCGGTCAATATTGCAGGATCTGTCAAGACGTTTTCATTGAAATATACACCTAAGACAAGCCCTTTATATCTACGGTTACATGTTTCTTTGGACCTCACTTTTCGCGGCGGTATTACCGGCACGCAGTCTGTCATCGGTTTTTTGAACTGAGATATCAGACGAACACTTTTAGATTGAAAACTAGCTCTGAATGGTAGAAACAACATTTTAATTTTGATAATATGTTTTTGGAAAATTTTGGTATTTGTGAAATCTTTGCCAACTAGTTTTTGGTAACTTACTTTTTAGTATGAGTTTTTATTATAATTTAAGTAAGTATAGTATATTAGAAGTAATGTGTAAATTTAATTATTAATACAACAAATATGTTTACAATATCACACATCATACATTGCTCACAATCAGATTAGCGCACAACATGTCTTTTGGGAGAGGTCAAGAAGTTTTCTTCTTGAGCCAGCTGGGAGTGTGACGTTCATACCACTCGGGAATATTCAGCAAGAGTGTTTCTTGTAACTGCCGGTATATTATAAGAATGAGGAAGGGAATGGCAAGCCTCTCGTCTTTAAAGAAGTACACCCAAAAAGCTAGCAGAAGAAGGCAAACATCCACTGTATAGTCAATCGCTGATCTCACGTTCATCTTAGCTTTCTTTTCAAGCTCTTGATAATTTATTGGTATTACAATAGTTGCTCGTTCTGCTTTCCTTAGCACGACTTGTTGTGTTGTGGATGCAGACGGAGAGATATTATTTTCTGCTGTAGTGGAAACTGTTGGTTTAGGTTTCTTTTCTGTTTGTTTTTTCTCTGCAGTGGGCGTTAGTTTTGTCTTCACTGGCTTATTATTATTATTAGAACTGGCAGGCTTTCCCTTCCCCGCTGTAACTTTACTGTTATTTGTTTTATTTATTACTTTTTTCGTTTTAGTTACTTTATTTTCTTCGCCATTTTCAGGTTGGATTTCAAGCTGTTGTTTTTCAGCCACAGCTTTCAAGTCTTCTGTTTTGAGATACATAGGAGTGGATGACTTCTTATGACTGCCATATTCCTTAACTATGTTACCATAATAATCAATTACTGTCCTTCCTTCTTCACTTACTTTGTCAGATACGTTTTCTGTTTTGCTACTAATTTTACCTTTATCGTTGGTCATGATTTCTTCTTTGGGTTTCTCTGGTTCCTTTTTGTGAAGTAGTTTGGGAAATTTCGTCTTGGTAATTTTTTTAAATATAGTAATTTTTTCATCCCGCTTTGGTTTTTCTATTTCTTTCGAATTTTCCGCTGATTTTACTTTACTTTCAGATTTTAATTTCTCTGAGGTTATAGGTTTTTCTACCATTTTAGGTTTTTCTGTTACTTTAGGTTTCTCCGTTATTTTTCGTTTGCCTTCCATCTTCGGAACCTCAAGAACTGCTTTTGTTTCTATTATGTCTGGCTCTCTCTTTTTTAATATAGGTTTTGGTACAAAATTAGGATCGGGTAAAGGTAAAAGTTTCACCGGTTCGTGTTCAGAAATCTCTTCTTCCTCTTCTTCAATAAATTCTTTCGAAGGGGAAGGACGGGCCATTTTATCTCTTGGGTTATATGTTTCCTCTTCGTTGGAATATTGGCTTCGTCTATCTATATCACCATCAAGGCTTCCATCTTCTGAATACTCTCCATCTGAGGAGACGGTGCTAGCAGTATAGTCTTCATCAAAAGACATGTGTTGCCATTTATTTTCAGATATTTCTGAATCCAGAGATACTTGACGTGGGCTATATTTGTTGTCACTGGAGTCAACAGATTCCGTTTTGATTATTATTTCTGGGTTCTTACATTTTGTTTCAGAAAAGTCTTCGTGCGATTTTGGCAAATCCCGGTTATTTTTATCTTGGTCGTGATCATAGCTAGTATTATACGGAATGTCAGTTTTGTGATTAGGGGGTTTGTCGTCTTTGTTTTTAGTTTGTTCTTCTTTCATTGCCACGGCTTTGTGAACTCGAGCCATGGCTAGTTCATGCAGCAGCTGTGATGAGCTTACAGCATTGCGTAGTGATTTGAACGGCATCATGCATCGTGAGCTCAGCTCCGGTGCGGAGAACGAGAGTGGAGGCGGTGACAGCGCATCAAGATCCAGTTGAAAGGATTGCCTTTTTTCTGAAAATATAAAAGGATTCATATTTAACACGATAGACTGATGCATAATTCATTTCGCTACGCTAGCATAGCTTAAAAGAAAATGTAATTCAATATCATACACAGTCGCTCCTGCATTTACAGGTTTGGTTGTCGCTCAATTAATTAACGTTGGCGTATTATACTAAGACAGAACGCAGTATAACTTCACGGTTCACAGGGGTTAAACAAATATAATAATAGTTGCGAACTTCGTTAACGCTAGAAATAGATTTGATTTCGCAAATGTGCTCTTGTATGTAAATTTCGCAGAAGCTGCGGTGCGGTCAGCATCTCGAGTTAATGTTTGTTTGGAGTTAGGTTAACGCGTTACTAAGTTGTGGTAATCTCGTAGCTGAGTTTGGTGGCCAGCTATTTATAGACGTGCCAGGCGTCGAAGTTTACCTACAACCTCGTTATTTAAAATTCTAAATTATTTATGTTAGACAAATGAGTTTAATTTCAATTTAACGTCTGTTCTGAAAATCACTATCATTTAGTGATGTAGTGATTTTTCAAGTGATGATCAAGTCTTGATAGATGAGTTACGACTTTGAGCTTAGAATAACAGATGAATGAATACAACGAACGATAAATTATATAATTCGTAGGGATAATAACATTTTTTCTTAATGAATTACATACAAAACGAAATTAGAACGCGGAGAACATTTTTAATATTTTGTAGCAGCTGCTATATTGTGTTGTGAACGTAAAGATTTCCTAATGTTTTCGATTATAATATATTTGTTCAAAATAATTCGCTAGTGGCGGCTCAGCTATGTGCGTATTGTTCATGTCAGACAGTTGTGAAAGATTTTTTGGAATTCGCTCTACATTTTTGTTAAATTAAGGAAGTTAATTATGCCGAGAGGATTCCTCAACCATACATTTGTATCCTATTTCCGATTTTGTATTTCACTTATGCCTCTGTGTATATAGAACTGTAGTTTTGCTAATTTCGTGGTGTAATGTTAGTGATGTTAGTCTAATCTTTTCTTTTGTGATCCGTTCGAAAGTCTACGGATCGGGGAGGTTAAGAAATAACCGCGCGAAGAAGAGGCAGGAGTGGAAGGCTAGTGTTATATAAAATTATCTTATTTTCCTAAAAACAAACACAGATAGACAGGAAGTACAGCTATTTTTAACTTGCTGTATTATTAATGTCATTGTCATTGCAATATCCGCAGTGCAATACCAACAGCACCTAGGTATATGGAGCAGTACCTAAATACAATCTAGATTGTCTGCCATAAACACCAGGAGGTAATACTTTATCCAAATATAATTAATTAACTGTCATGGTATATAAAGCACCTACAGAAGTGCAATACGTAGTATCATTGAAGAATCAAGTATTAGTGGCATGTATACATAGTGAGATAAAATGTACCCCACATTTACATAATAACTTAGGAACATGGACAAATAAGGAGTAAAATTAATCTTACCGGATTTTTCCATCTGTTTTTGTGAATCCGGGTAGAGTACTAGCATAAACTCGTTGCTGCCGCCGGACTGGTTCCTGGCTGGCGAGCGCCGCGGCATCCGATGTGGCGGCTGCGGCTCCGCGGGCGCGGTCTGTGCGCGCTTGCGGCGCGGTGCTGGAGACACACGCGCGTCGCCGCCGCCGTCTTCTCGAGTAAGCACTTCGTTTATTATCTTTGACTCTACTGCCAGGAACTCCATGTCGACTGGTCGCCCAGGTATCTTCACCGGTGCGGACTCCACACTAGGCGCGCTCATTCCATATGGACTTTCTGCTTTTACTCGAAAACGGTATTCACTTCCTTCGATGAGATCGAACAAAGTTACGTTTGTTTTACGACTGGTAGTTGCCTTCAGCCACACGTTCCAGCCGTTCCTGTAATACTCTACTACGTAGTTGCCAATGCGACACCCACCATCATCCTCGGGCGGCTCCCAGTCAAGAGTGACGGACTTGTCTACCTGTCTTGCCACAGAGACATGCTGCGGAGGGTCTGGTGGAGCTGTGATCGTCACTAAGAAGGCAGCAGTGTCTTCTCCGATTCTGTTTTTCGCGTGGATTTGATATTCGCCACGGTCGCTTCTTCGTGCTGAGTGGATTTTGAGAACTGAAAATTTCGATGTATTCGAAATCTCCACGCGATCGTTTACCACTATAGGCTGGCCATCGTGTCGCCATTCTACAGTTGGTGTCGGTTTTCCAACAATCGTAGTCTTTAGGAAAACGGTTTCGTTAATTTCGTATAACAAGCCGTCCTCGTATTGACGAGGGTAGCGTAACTTCGGAGCAGCTTCTAAGGATAATCGAGCTTTAGTGACTGCATGTCCGCTGCGATTTGTTACCGTGCATTTTATTTCTCCTTCGTCGCTCGGCAATGTTTGGTGGAACACAAGAACACTAGTCGATTCGCTTGTAGTGATCGCCGTCCTTCTGCTACTAAATATTTCATAATCATCCTTGAACCATGCTATTGTGGGCGGTGGCATACCCGTGAAAGCGACACGGAATTCTGTTTTATCATTTTCCAGTACGGTTAAATCTTCCAGATGTTGGAGAAATATTGGCGGTTCATGAGGAAGGCGGTCAGAGCTGACCGTGAGCACGTCGGAGAGGTCGCTGTAATCGGAGCGTCCGACTGCATTGAGCGCTGCGACTCGGAACTGGTACCGGTGGGGCGGCTCGAGCCCGGTTAACACGAGCTCGGGCCGCAGCACTACCGGCGGCGCTGTGCGGATCCAGTCCGGAGCCCCGAGCCTGTTGCACTCCACCTGGTAGCCGAGCAAGGGCGCGCCTCCATCGTGAGCCGCCGGCGCCCAGCGCAGCGTGATCGAGTTTGGCTCCTCATCCGGTGACAGAATCGGTATTATATCCGGCTTCCCTGGCGTTGCAGGTCGTCCTGAAACATCGAAGCGGGGCGGTGTGTTACTGTATGCATTTATATGATTTAAGTTAAAATTAAATTTGTCTAGTCGGACGTTAACCTTTGTTCGGTAACGACAGTGCTGCCGGTATAAGCCATTTGGCATAAAACTCCTTTCAAAATTAGACGCGTGATAATCGTTACATGAACGCGGACGGTCTTACGATTTGTTTTGTTGTGCCACGCTTTAGGAATCGCAGCGCGCAGTCTTTTTATAAATAGAAATGTAGACAGGGGGCTTCTGGGAGAACACACATGTAGGAGGTCTTTCGTGTCTGGTGCCGGCTTTTAGGGCGGGGTGTTAGGATTACCTGCGGTCTTCCAGCGCACGTTCTTGCTGGGCTTGTGGACGTAGTGTGAGGCGGAGTGCTGGTTGCCCATGGCGGCGGCGGCGCGCGCCGACACACTGAGCACGGCGCCCGCTCGCCCCCGCCCTCGCCGCGCGCCGCGCTCTGGGAATAACTCTGCGCAGAGCCGCGCCCGCGCGCCCGGATGCGATCTTGATCTGTTTCATCGATATCTTTTCATTAACGATTTACAGGCTACGACCTTTGGCGCAACATATTCATCCATTTCAATCATTTCACAGCATTGCCAATTACTTACGTACTTAGAAATCAATAAATGTTTGTAATAACCATTGATGATATAGTATTTAAAGTTTAACTAGCAACGCAGTTTATACCAAGATTTAACCATTCGTTAGCAAACTGCATTAAATCGACGTTGAATACGGTACTTAGTTCCTGAAACAAAACGACGTCACCTCGTTGTACAAATGAGGACATCTTGTGCCAGATTTTGGTACTAGCTAGATCTTGAAGTCTTCTTAGACTATTCAGAATATCAATCTGCTAGCTTAGTTAATCATCAGTATCTACTTGCACTCCATCTGTTGAAAAATCTTTAAACAAATAAATGGGGAACCTACCGAAATCCTACGTAGTATCGGACTAAAATAAATTGTGCCAGAAGCCAGACTTCGTTATTTTTTGTAGTAACGACAGATGGCACTACTGTTCAACATTTTTGTAGGTATCGATAAAAATACCATTAATATAGTTAGGTACCAAAATACAAATAATAATATTATATATAGCTACCATCTACATGTAGGTACGATGTAGTTGTTTATATCTAAGTATTTCGAAATAAGTTCGGAAACCAAAGATTGTATTATAGGTACAAAACAAATAAGTTTTAATTAAAATAGATATTTAGATGGGTGCGATGGTGGAATATATATTTTATTTATCTGCTGTGGCGGCTGGGCGATAGATCTTGTAGTCTGTATCAGCGAGCGCCTACGCGTATCCCCGTTACGTACTTTTCACCACTTGAACATAAGAATATATTTTAGGAAACTGTTTCAACAAAACTGTAATCTTATCTGCATCTGGAGCTAAAATAATACGATTTTCGTTTTATTCATTCCTCTGAAATCTCTTAGTGAATGATATAACCAATTAACCTTGAATCTCAGAATAAAATGTTTAATGTATTGAAGATTTTCACTAACCCCTATTTATTATCGTTACAATGACGAACCTCAGTATATACCTATGACCAGGCATAGGTCATTGTTTGACCTATGCCTAGGTGTATTGAAAAAGGAATTTCCAAATAAATACAGATGTGTACGTGAAGTGAAGATAGCCTACATTAATTTCTCAAGTCACAACATTTATAAGAGGAATTTTGATCTTTCAAAGAAGGAACTAAAATGATTGTGTTGACTACGATCTGTAGGCCTGCACTTGCAGAAACACAACCTAATTCTGAAAAACTACAAAATAATGGAAAAAAACATTTCGTTTGTTGTATGGAAGCCCCGTTAGGGGTAACAGATATACAGCATTCGTTGTTATCACAATTCATGAAATACAGATGGAGAGAGGATCATGAGATACAGATGGACAATTCATGAGAGCCAGATGACTGATAGACGGAAACCAGAACCTCGTAATAGGGTCCCATTTTACCCCTTGCGTTACAGGACCTCAATAAACAGCTTAACGCATCAAAAACAAATGTTGCAATATTTTTCAGCAATAGCTACTTTGGTATTTCCTTTGGAAAGTTGTTTAGAAGTATTGACTCCTCTACACAAGAGAAATGGCTGAAGTTTGAATATGGTAATGGTATCATAATTTTAGAAATCGATAATATCTGCTAATAACCCTCGTATACAGAGAAGGCTTAATATCCAACATCAAAAAGTACTCATACTTACTGACAGATTATATATATAATCGAAATCGACAATGTCACATAGATGATTTTAATAAAGACAAACATTAATATGCCATAGACCAGCTGTGGAGTCAAATAGTATTATAGAGTGCAAATTGGAACGTCCAGTCAAGTCCATTCGCCGCACAGATTAAACAGGATAAATTGTCAATTGATAAACAGCCATTTTCTATAACCTATCTGTCTGTAGATTTGCTTACTGAGATAGAATTTTGACATACGCTTCTAATACAAACTGTGTCCAAATTCTATTTATTATATCTCAGTAAGCAAATCTACAGATAGATAGGTTATAGAAAATGGCCGTAACTTGGGTGTATCGGAACTTGTAGACGCCGATTGAAAATTGCAATCATAAGTAATATTTATTTTTCGAGAATAAATGAGGGTTTCGAATCTATTGAATTAATTAATTAAATAAGATTTCTGATGATACTAAAATAAATTAAGAACAAATAGCACTTGTTGTTTAAACTAAAAATTGCCACTTTGGCTGAGTGGTCATAAGTGCGACTGTCGGGTAAGGGGTCTCGGGTTCAATTCCCGGCTCACCCCCTATTACATAGGACTCATAACATAAATAGTGAAGAGCGGGTGTTACATTGCACAGTGGCATTATATGAGTGCAGTAATATGCACCTCTGCCCACACCTTCGGGGATAAAAGGCGTGATGTTATGTTATGTCTAATTTAAAAAATATTTATTTGTACTGTTTGTAAATTTTACAATTTAACCAACTCTCATGTTTGATGTTTGTTTGTTGTTTGTTTCGGCCGCTTAAAATGTAACAGGAGTCTGGCTCTCAATGGGTATCAGTGGTGCATCACTATGATTGCCAGATATCAAAGGATTGACGATCTAATGGATTGGCAGCAAGCGTAATGTGGAGTGAAGCGCAGTATCGTAGCCAGAAACCAATTACTTAGCAATCCCGATGGATGAGAGTCCTGTTCCTATTTGACTACGTTCAAATGACTGAGATGTAAAATACATCGCTCAGTTGATTCAGCCAAAAATTTTTACATAGATCCATACAGTGCTGATAAATAATAAGTACGAATTTCGACATGTAATTTGCAAACACGTTTATAATTTTAATATAAAAATAGATAAAACAAAATTCATACATATGTTTGTAAATATATAATAAGTATGCGGAATTATATCTTTTTCGTAAAGAAGGACTATTTATTAAAGAAAAATAACAAAATTAAACTCCAGAAGTAGCTAGGTACTAAACTTATAGCTAAACAAAATCAAGGAGACACTTGCTGTCAGGATTCCCTATCAATAAACTAAAAACGTTACATCTTTACATAATTATTATTACTTCTCTGCCTCGTTGGCCGAGTGGTCGCAAGTGCGACTGCCGGCCAAGGGGCCTCGGGTTGGATTCCCGGGTCGGGCAAAGTATTACTAGGTTTTTAAAAATCTCAGTGGTAGCACGGAGTCTGGAAATGTACCCGGTATATGGCAATAGGCTTACCCCCTATTACATGGGACTCATAACATAAAAGTGGGTGTTACATTGTACAGTGGCATTAAGTGCCGAAATGTGCACCTCTGCCTACCCCTTCGGGGATAAAAAGGCGTGATGTTATGTTATATTATTATTACTTCAGACCTCACTATGTGCAGCGAGCGCATTAAATAAGTTGACATAAAAAGAATTCCATCTCCCGACAGTAGAGTCATTGAGTTTCCGTCAGCCTGCCGGTTTGCGTGGAGTAGTGCTCTAGATGCGTCTGTGTACATCCTGTGCATTGTGTCCCGTATGTCGACGGAACTACGAGCGGAACTAACGAGATATAGGATGGCACAAACGTGCCATTGTTTGCCAGGACATTCACTAATCAATTTCTGTGTTCGCCTTAATTAACTGTGGATACGTAACACACTGTGATGACATTGATGGTCCCGGATTAACCGCAATGCCGGAACGTGCTTCATATCTGGAATGCGATCATTTATGCTCGCCCTCAATAAAGGGTTAGTCCCCGTATTGATTATGCAATACAAACTACCAACTTACTGCTATTGTTAGGAAAGTACTGCTATTGTTAGGAAAGTACTGCTATTGTTAGGAAAGTACTATAGATGCAATTGAAATTAATTGGAATTCTAATTTTCAGATTTTGTGATATGTTAATTATAATTAGGATCGTAGGTACGCTTGAAGTTAGGTTTTGACGATCGAAAGAATATTTATTTATACTTAAATTTCAATTTATAATTACTAATATCATAATAATATCGATAACAAGGCATTCCTCGTAGCGAGGGATTAAAGAATCTTTGTTGTTTTAAAAGTCTATCCAAATGTTCCTAATGTTAAGAATCGTAGTCAAATTTTTACTGCGGATTTTTAAGTGTGTCGCACTCTGTACGCACGACATTTTAATTGGTACGTAAGTAATGAGGGCACGGGTAATGTAATGATCACATACCCAAATATACGCCGAAATACTTCCATCGGGTACCAAACAGTCGTTAATGCCGATTTGCCAATATTAACGTACATCTGTTTTATCGTACATCAGTAAATTGCATTTAAATGTTGATCTCAACACAAAAATAAAATCCGAGTTATTTTAAAATATTCAAATAACAACGAAGCTTGTACTTGTTTTCGCGATACTTCGATTGCAGCTGTCTTTTACATCTCCTTTGAACTAAAAACAGAAGTGCTCGAGTTCATGATACTGCATAATTAGTAGGGGGAGGCAAACGGGGTGGGCTTTATTATTTAGTACAGTTTGTACAAGGCTTAAGATACCGTTTACCATCAGTTCTACCTTGAAACGAACAATGTACATTAATGTTTTTATTATAATTATCGTGAGAATACTAACATAACTAAAAAGCAGTCTACGCGACATCGCCGCGACCGCGCACGCTGTTCATGAGCAAGAACCCCTCTGTGGTTCGAAACTAGTAGAGCTTGTCTCAGTAATTTCACGTGAGTAAACCGTAATTAGTTTTAGTTCATTTATATTAAAACACCGAAAAGAACACAAAATAAGTACAATTATTTTTGTGTGTCTATCAAAATACTTTTCAGTGTCTTCCCGCGTTGAAAACATGTATAATATAGAAGTAAATTGTTTAGGTAAGAAACTGAAATCTT